TACCAAGACCTACAACGTGGTTGGTTTCGGTAGCGGTAACACCATCCGTGTCAGCACTGGTTTCACCTCTTACAGTTACTCCGGCAGCACCTTGACGCTTTCCTTCTTCTTGGGTGTCTTCAAGATCGCCTTCAACATTGGTACTGGCTACTCCTCCTCGGGATTCTCCACAAACGGTATCGGTAACGCAGGAACCACCATTTCCTACTCCGGCGCCTACCCAGGCACTGTCCCATCGAACTGTTTGTGTTCCGACTTCCCATCGCCAACCACCACCCCATTGGCCTCGTCGACCTCCAGCTCCAGTGCTAGCAGCTCCGTTTCTTCCACCATCACCCTGAGCTCTGCTTCCAGCTCCAGCTCTACCCCAGCATCCTCCAGCTCTGCTTCTAGCTCGAGCTCGACCCCAGCATCCTCCAGCTCCACCCCATCAAGCTCTTCCGAGGCTACCAGCTCCACCCCAGCATCAAGCTCTTCCGAGGCTACCAGCTCTTCTGAGGCTACCAGCTCTTCTGAGGCTACCAGCTCTTCCGAGGCTACCAGCTCTTCTGAGGCTACCAGCTCTTCTGAGGCCACCAGCTCCTCCGAGTCTTCGACCGCCTCGAGCTCTGAGGCTTCTTCCGAGACCCCATCGAGCTCTGCTGCTCCAACTGAGTCCTCCAGTGAGTCCTCCTCGGCTGCTCCAACTGAATCCTCAACTGAGTCTTCAACCGAGTCCTCTACTGAGTCCTCCACTGAATCCTCGACCGAGTCTTCTTCAGCTGCTCCAACCGAGTCCTCATCCGAGTCTTCTTCAGCTGCTCCAACGGAATCTTCCTCCGCTGCCGAGTCCTCCTCTGCTGCTGAGTCTTCTTCTGCCGCTGAGTCCTCATCCGCTGCTGAGTCCTCATCCGCTGCTGAGTCCTCCTCTGCCGCCGAGTCTTCTTCTGCTGCTGAGTCTTCATCTGCTGCTGAGTCTTCTTCTGCTGCTGAGTCTTCTTCTGCTGCTGAGTCATCCGCTGCTCCAACCGAGTCTTCTGCTGCTCCAACGGAATCCTCTTCTCAGGCTGCAACTGAGTCTCCAAGCTCTTCTTTGGAACTCACCGAGTACACTACCACTTTCACGACCACCGATGCTAACGGTAACCCAGCTACCGAGTCCGGTGTCGTGATTGTTACCACTGACTCCAATGGTGCTTTGTCTACCACCACCTCCTTGTTCCCACCTCAGCTTACGGAATACACCACCACCTTCACTACTACCGATGCTAACGGTAGCCCAGTGACCGAGTCCGGTGTCGTGATCGTTACCACTGATGCTAACGGTGCTTTGTCTACCACGACTTCTTTGTTCCCTGCAGACGCTACTACCAGCTCAGCTGCTCCAGAACTCACTGAGTACACAACCACCTTCACTACTACTGACGCTAATGGCAACCCTGCTACCGAGTCTGGTGTCGTGATTGTCACAACTGACGCTAACGGAGCTTTGTCGACTACTACTTCTTTGTTCCCACCTCAGGGTACTGAGTACACTACGACCTTCACCACTACCGATGCTAATGGCAACCCTGCTACTGAGTCCGGTATCGTGATTGTTACTACTGACGCTAATGGCGCCTTGTCGACTACAACCTCGTTGTACCCACCTCAGTTCTATGAGTACACTACTACATTGACCACCACTGACGCCAACGGTAACCCAGTTACCGAGTCTGGTGTTGTGATTGTTACTTCGGATGCTAACGGTGCTTTGACAACTACCACGTCTTTGTTCCCACCACAGCTTACTGAGTACACCACGACGTTCACCACTACTGACGGCAACGGTAACCCAGTCACGGAGTCGGGTGTTGTGATTGTTACTACCGATGCTAACGGTGCTTTGTCTACTACAACTTCGTTGTTCCCAGCTGATGCTGTTACTAGCTCGGCTGCTCCAGAGCTCACCGAATACACCACTACTTTCACTACTACCGATGCCAATGGCAACCCAGCCACCGAGTCTGGTGTTGTGATTGTTACTACGGATGCTAACGGAGCTTTGACTACCACCACTTCATTGTTCCCACCACAGCTCACCGAGTACACTACTACTTTCACTACAACTGACGGCAACGGTAACCCAGTGACCGAGTCTGGTGTTGTGATCGTTACCACTGACGCTAACGGTGCTTTGTCTACTACGACTTCTTTGTTCCCTGCAGACGCTGCTACCAGCTCAGCTGCTCCAGAGCTTACTGAGTACACTACAACTTTCACCACCACTGACGCTAATGGCAACCCAGCCACCGAGTCTGGTGTCGTGATTGTTACCACCGACGCTAACGGAGCCTTGACCACCACTACTTCATTGTTCCCACCACAGCTTACCGAGTACACCACTACCTTCACCACCACTGATGCTAATGGTAACCCAGTGACCGAATCTGGTGTTGTGATTGTTACTACTGACGCTAATGGTGCCTTGTCGACCACCACTTCTTTGTTCCCAGCGGATGCTGTTACCAGCTCAGCTGCTCCAGCACTCACTGAGTACACTACCACTTTCACGACCACCGATGCTAACGGCAACCCTGCTACTGAATCTGGTGTCGTGATTGTGACTACTGACGCCAACGGTGCTTTGACCACCACCACTTCTTTGTTCCCACCTCAGGGTACCGAGTACACTACCACCTTCACTACAACTGATGCCAATGGCAACCCAGTTACTGAATCTGGTGTGGTGATCGTCACTACCGATGCCAACGGCGCCTTGTCAACTACTACCTCCTTGTTCCCAGCCGGTGCTGCTCCTACCGAGTACACCACTACTTTCACTACTACTGACGCTAATGGCAACCCAGCCACCGAGTCCGGTGTTGTGATTGTGACTACTGATGGCAACGGAGCTTTGACTACTACTACCTCGTTGTTCCCACCTCAGGGTAGCGAGTACACCACGACATTCACCACTACTGACGCTAACGGTAACCCAGTCACTGAGTCTGGTGTTGTTATCGTGACTACCGACGCCAATGGTGCTTTGTCTACCACCACTTCCTTGTTCCCAGCTGGAGCTGCCGCTACCGAGTACACTACTACTTTCGCCACCACCGACGCCAACGGAAACCCTGTTACCGAGTCCGGTGTCGTGATCGTTACCACTGACTCCAACGGAGCCTTGACAACTACCACGTCTTTGTTCCCAGCCGGCGCTGCTCCTACTGAGTACACCACCACTTTCACCACCACTGACGCTAATGGCAACCCATCTACTGAATCTGGTGTTGTGATCGTTACCACCGATGCTAACGGAGCTTTGACTACTACTACTTCCTTGTTCCCAGCTGGTGAGGGTGCTGCTCCTACTGAGTACACCACGACGTTCGCTACCACTGATTCTAACGGTAACCCATCTACTGAGTCTGGTGTTGTTATTGTGACTACTGACTCCGAGGGATCCTTGGCTACTACCACTTCCTTGTTCCCTGACGCTGGTGCTTCTGAGTACACCACTACTTGGTCCTCCACCGATGCTAACGGAAACCCAGTCACTGAATCTGGTGTTGTGATTGTCTCCACTGACCCTAACGGAGAGTTGACCACCACTACTTCTGAGTTCGGTCAGGATGGTGAGACTCAATACACCACTACCTGGACTTCTACCGACTCTAACGGTAACCCTGTGACCGAGTCCGGTGTCGTCATTGTGGGTACTGACTCCGACGGAGCTTTGAGTACCACCACCTCTGAGTTCCCTCAAGCCACCGAGTTCACCTCCACCTGGACCACTACGGATGCTAGCGGCAACCCAGTGACTGAGTCTGGTGTTGTTGGTGTTTCCACCGACTCTGAGGGCTCATTGACCTCCTCAACTTCCGTTTTCGGCAACGAATACACCACCTCTTGGACCACCACCGACTCTAACGGTAACCCAGTTACTGAGTCTGGTGTCGCTGTTGTCACTACTGACGCTGAGGGATCCTTGACCACCTCCACTTCTCAGTTCCCAGGTGAGGGCTTGACCTCGTTCACTTCCGCTTTCACCACTACCGACTCGAACGGTAACCCAGTCACTTCTTCCGACTTGGTGATTGTCACTACTGACTCAGAGGGCTCATTGTACACCACCACCTCTGCTCTTGGAGGTGCTGAGTACACCACTACTCTCGAGACCACTGACTCCACCGGTGGTGTCGTGACCAAGACTGTCTTTGTCTGTGAGACCACCGACTCGGCTGGCTCTTTGACTACCTCCTCATCTGTTCTCCCTGAGATCACTACCCTTGTTACCTCCAAGCCTGACGGCTCTGAGGCTACTTACAGTGCCGAGATCATTGAGACTACTGTTGATGGCACCGTGACCTACTACACCTCCATCTGTCCTGAGGAGACCACCTTTGCCTCCACTGGCGAGGATGGAAAGGAGACCACTTACTCTGGTGTTGTTGTTGAGACCACCGGTGAGAACGGTTCCTTGACCTCTTACACCTCCATCAACACTCCTGCCGGCGAGACCCCTGCCGGTGAGACCCCTGCTGGCGAGACCCCAGCCGCTGAGTCCTCGTACACCTCATACTACGAGACCACTGCTGAGGACGGCCATGTGGAAACCACTCTGGACGTTGTTGTTGTCGGTACTGACTCGCAGGGCGAGCCATTCACCTCCACCATCGCTGGTCAGTCCACTGGTCCTGAGCCTGTTGCTACCCAGCCTGGTTCTGCTGCCCCAGCTGAAACCACCGGTGCTCCATCTGGTTCTCAGACCACTCTCGACACTGTCTACACGTCTGCGGGCGGCTCTGCTGCTCCAAGCGTATCGTCATACGAAGCCGGCGCTTCTTCCACGAAGTTCAGCGCCAAATGGTTGCTTCCCTTCGCTTTCTTCGCAATGATTTAAAAGTGATGCCGTTTAGCATACACTCTTCCCTTCGATTAATTCATTTTTGGCATTTCCATTGCCTCGGCATTTTCTTTAGTCATCATTACCAAGATTTAATTTCGTCTAATAAAGTTATATAAGTATAAAACTTGTTCTATATGTACTTTTTGTAGTCGTCGCCGTACCACAACTGTTCTATTTGCTCGATCAAAGTGGTCTGCTCCTGGCTAAACCTGACCACGGCATTGGTTTCTTCATCTTTAGGAACCGACGCACACCATACGTACCCAATGCATCCTTTTGTTCTATCCTGAACGAAGCCCAGCTTCAGTTTTGGAATGATAGCTCCATTTATCTTGGATGGAGATCGGTAATGGTCATGCAAAGCTTCTGGGGTTTTGTACTGTTCTCTAAGTGACCGAAGGGCTTCGAAGTCTTTCTGGTAATAGCCTTTCTTGCACTTTTGTAAGCCGCCGTTTATCCAAAGAAGCTTGTGTTCTGAATCGAAATGAGCAGGTTGAGTTGAACAAACTTCCCAAGAGCTCTTCGTTTCTTGAAGCTCTCCTATCCCAGCAGCGTGCTGGCCATTGAAGGTGAATAAAGCCTGACCGGCGTAAATCTGTCCTAGCCAAAAAAGCTCTTTATCACCATAAAAAGGCCCGCTTGTTTCGTGCCAAAACTGTAAAGCCGTGGAAATAAGCATCCCGGTCAAATGTGTTGATCTTTTCATCACCACCATGCCGCTTTCCATGACGTGTTTGGATTTCGACTGGAAAAAGCCCGTGGCTTCGGCAACATCGGTGTAATCGTGAATGTCAAATGCCCGTTGCTCTTCTAATGTCGGATGGAGGCTTCTGAAGAAACCCATGGGAGTGGTCCAGGTGCGTTCGCTGGTGAGTCTGTCTCTGAAGAAGTAGGCTCCGTGTTTCAGGTACTCCTTGTAGCTGAAAAGCGTCCTTGGCTTCACGAACGGCACCACATCTGTGTCCATAAGCACCATCTCGTCAAAGGTGTTGAACAACGAGGCTATCCACTTGTTGGAAAAACGACGGAAGTACTTGAAAGCACCGTCAGCAAGCGACCCGCTGGCATCCACAAAATATACATCCTGAGGCGGATATAGCGACGATTTGGCATATTCAAAGTCCACTTCACCTCGAGCAACCTCCACAAGCTTCTGTATCGAGTCTGGCGAAAGATCGCCCTTGTGCACCATCTGAATGGACAAATCGTTTTCTAGAAGCCGGAGCACCCGGAGGAGCCGTTTTGCTTCTTCGACGCCGGCGTCGCTCATGCTGAAGACGATTCCTTTCTTGGAAAAGCCGTTTTTCATTCTTCCCCAGAACGAAGAGCCCTTCTTTTCTGATCCTGGCACAACGGTGCCGTCCCACTTTGTCACCACGGGCATTCTCCCTGAAAAAAGCGGAAAAAGCTTCCTTTCCACTTCCTCAATGCCGTTTTTCACCTCCACCTTGCTTTCTAGGAAACACGCTCCATAGGCCCGAAGATGCCCCACAAAAGTCCGGATCCACTGCTTCCTTGGCGTCGAGTTCTCCAACAAGGCGTCTCTATCTAGCGAGCTGGCCAAATGTGTAAAATAGTCCTGGCACCGTTGCTCTTTCGGCACCTTATCATGCCCGAGTATCTCAACTAGTGGATCTGTGAGTGTCCGATGTTCCCGGTTTCCCTGAAACACAGCAATGTTCAAAACAAACAGGATGGTCAAAGCCACCACTAGTGCCAACGGCACACAGCGGATGAACACCAGTTTCCTCATGGTCTTCGAATCGTCTAAAAATTGGAGATCTGTAGGGTCAAGAAAAACCAGACACACGTGCACTCTAGCCAAGATATGGCTATCAGACGGACGGGATGAGATGCACCTGGATACTCCGGGGGTGTCTAGAAGAGAGAAGATTTAAAAGTAGATTTGTTTGATTATTTTTCCGCATCTAACGCAGAATTAGATAATTGATCCGGGGAAACCTCGCTTATTGTAGATCGTGCAGATTATGTAGGAGGGGGTGAAAGCCTCGTTTGAGATGCACAGAACACCGAGGATGGAGCTACACTTATCAACATCAAAGATGTATGTATAACGACTTTTTTTATGATGAAGAACTGAAATCTGCTAAACTTTTTGAGCACATGACGCATGGTTCGAAATCTCGGCTATGCACTGCCACGCTACCGAGAGGCGTGCACTGCCTGATCTAAGGCCTCCGCCACAGCTAGAGATCTTTCCTCTTCAAGCTTTCTGGTCACCACCTGAAGGCAAACGGGCAAGTCGTGGAACTTCTCCGGATCGTACATATCGTAAACGCTCTGTTCGGCGTCATTTCTGGCCTTAAACTGGGTTTCTTTGACATCTCTCAGCTTGTCCACTTTACCAACAGGAAGAACGGTACTGGCACAGTCAAAAAGGTTGAAAGGAACCGTGTAATTTTCAGTGTTGGGGCCGTACTTGAGCACAGCCGGAACAGGCCAGATGGGGCACACAATAGCGTCTATAGGTTTCCCAGACAGAGTCAACCGAGCAGTGTCCTTCCAGTGGGCATAAAAGTCCTGCTTGATTTCGTACGCTTCGTTGCACACTTCCCACCATGCACTGGCGTCCAAAGGTTTTCCAAAAAGATCCCATGGCACACACTCCAAGGCTGCTTTAATGAACGGCTCACCCGTCTTGCTGCATTCCCCATAAGCCTCTTTTCCAGCGTCCGCAACATATGCTTTTGTGGCCGTGTCCATGGCCTTCAACAGCATGGGAATTTGTATATCCACCACCTCGTGGCCTGCCTTTTGCAAAGCTGCTTTTGTCTCTTCAAGAGCTCTGGCCACTGGAGGTTGCGGTCTGAGCTCAGGACAAGCATGCCATATGCCTATAGTGAATTTTCTCTGAGCCTCCTCCCTCCAGGGAACAGCAAGCACCTTGGGATCCAGGTGCCACCCCTCCATTCCAACCAAGACTTTAGAAACGTACTTCACATCTTCGAGAGAGCGGGCCATCGGGCCGATCGCCGAAATTACACACTCCTGGCCACTCGAGGCGTTGGTAACGTTCATATACGAAAGTCGCCCGTTGGCCGGTTTCAACGCATACAAGCCCTGGAAGCAAGAGGGGATCCTAATACTGCCTCCAATGTCTGTACCTAAACCACATGGTGATGCACCAGCGGCGATCAAGGACCCTTCACCGCCTGACGACCCGCCTGCCGAAAAGTCCAGATGCAAGGAATTAGTCGTGTAGCCAATGAGATTCGAATAAGTCTCAGAAGCCATGAGGGAGCTGGGTACGGCTGTTTTAACGTAGAAGACAGCACCGGCCTCGAGCAATTGATCAGCGATGAGGGCGTTTTTGGCTTTGGGCTTATCAGCCAATGAGCAGTACCCCAAGGTGGAATCCTTGCCCGTCAAGTCCACCTGATCTTTCAAGGATATAGGGATGCCATGAAGCGGACCTACAACACCATCTTTGGCAAACACCTGATCTAGTTTTTTGGCCCTTTCGAAAGCCTCGTCAAAGAAGATATCCGAGCAGCAGTTGACGATTTGATGGGCTAACGCTGCCCGGTGGCAGTATGCTGTAGTGACCTCCAACGCTGAAAATTCACCTGCTGCGATCTTCTTCTGAAGATCCACCAATGAAAGATGGGTGATGGCATTTTCGTCCTCGGGAAGAGTTGCATCTAAAAAGCGTTTCGTATTAGTTTCCCCGGTGCGCTGCATCTTGTCAGCAATTTCAGCATCTCTCCATTCCGGTGGGATCCCACCGAGGATGGAGTCCTGCTTCCGTTTAGCGATATCTGTCCACATCTTTGGATACTAAAGCAGCAAATGGCCTGGCCTTATATGCGGAGGCTTTTCGGAATGTCTTTTACGGAACCCCTCTTGAGAACGGATGTCAAATACCGATTTGGTGATCGAACAATTGATCTGTGTGGCTTGGAAAAGCGATTACCAGGAGGAGATCTGAGAAACATTCTCGTCCTGGAGATACTGCACTCCTAGTTTCTATGCAAGCGCCGCACCAGATGGCTGCAAAATCTTCCGTATATAAGCTCCCAGCAACTCATTTCTGGGATTTTTGGAATTCTGATCTTGCAGCTTCAAAATGGTGCCCATTTTACCCCAGAGCTACGGCTACGGCTTTTCCGTGGGCCTCGGTGCAGCTTTCGCTGTTATCATGGTGTTTATAACCAAAATGTTGGCCAAGTACATGGGTCAGCACCAGAATTCAGAAAGATTCACCACCGCCGCCAGAAACGTCAAATCGGGTCTTATTTCTTCGGCGACGGTTTCGGCGTGGACCTGGCCCGCTACGCTTCTTTCTTCAGGTGCTTGGAGCTATTCTCATGGAATCAGTGGAGGCTACTTCTATGCTGTAGGAGGAGCCTTGGAGGTGACGCTTTTCATGTTTTTGGCGATCGAGATCAAGCGTAGAGCCCCTGCCGCCCATACTATCTCGGAGATTTTCCACTTCCGGTTCGGAAAATGGGGCCACATTGTGTTTTTGTGCTATTGCATGGCCACCAATGTCTTGACCTCGGCGCTTTTGCTACTAGGAGGATCCCAGGCTTTTGCAGTGACTACCGGGATGCACACCGTGGCAGCGTCGTTTTTGCTTCCCTTGGGTGTTATAGTGTACACTGCTCTTGGAGGTCTCAAGGCGACATTTGTGTCTGACTGGATCCACACCGTGATCATATACTGTATCATTATCGTGATGATATTCTACATTTTCTGCACGTCCTCGTTGATCGGGTCGCCAGGAAAAATGTACGATCTTCTCGTGGAGGCCCAGGAGCTCATTCCTGCTCCAGGCGACAGCTACCTTAGTTTCAGGGACAAGGATATGAACTTCCTTGCGTGGTCCGTCACCCTAGGAAACTTGTGTTCTGTATTCGGTGATCCAGGATACGCCCAGCGTGCTATAGCTGCCGATGCCCGCTCTGTATTTGAAGGGTACCTCATGGGAGGCTTGTGCTGGTGGATTATTCCTATGGCCTTGGGTCTGTCTGCTGGACTTGCTTGTAGGGCGCTTTTGAACAATCCCGCTTCTGTGACCTACCCTAATCCGCTTACAGATTTTGAAGTTGACGCCGGGCTTCCGGTGATTTATGGAATGGCAGCGATATTCGGAAATGGCGGAGCGGCAGCGGGTTTGGTGATGCTTTTCATGTCTGTGACGTCTGCCACCTCCGCTGAGCTTATTGCTTTTTCGTCGATTGCAACGTACGATCTTTACAGAACGTACTTCAAGCCCGACGCCACAGGAAAACAGCTTGTGAGAGCGGCCCATTATTTTGTGGTGGGTTTTGGTCTTTTCATGGCGGTTTTGGCGGTAATCCTTAACTATGTGGGTGTCACAGTGGGATGGCTCCTCAGCTTTGTGGGAATCCTCCTCACGCCCACCGTCAGTATTGTGATTTTGGCTGTTTTCTGGAGCAAAATGACGGCAAGGTCGTTGGTAATCGGTGCTCCGTTGGCCACCCTTTCAGGCTTGCTCTGCTGGATCGGCGCAACCTACCATTTTGGAGAAGGAGTGATCAACAAAGACACCTTGATGATCACGGAGGCCACCTTCATTGGCAACATCGTGGCCCTCGGCTCCTGTCCTATTTACATTGCCATAATCACGCTTCTCAAGCCGGCAGAGGACCCGTACGATATGGATATTCTCTCTATTCAGATCGTCATGGCAGACGATGTGGATGAAGAAGGAAAAGAGGCAGCCAAGGTGACGGAAACAGATAAACACGTTCTCAAACGGCAGGTCTGGATGAGTGCTTTCACCAACATCATAATTCTCTTTGGCTGCCACATTATCATTCCTCTCGCCTTGTATGGCAGCGGATACGAACTGACCAAAGGCGCCTTTACGTTTTTCATTGTGGTGAACATAATCTGGGCCATTCTTGCTGCCGGCTACATCGTCTTTGTTCCCCTCTGGCAGGGCAGAAGGGCCATCAAGACGGTATTCAAGGCTCTTCTTGGTATGGAGAGGCCGCCTGTTTCAGACAACATGAACAGTGAGAGCCATGAATCCATCGAGCTCTTGGTGTCTGGAAAAGGCACCGACACTACACTCTGAGACACTCCCCTTAGGTCTCAGGTAGTCTGAAACATTCACATAGCGGGCCCTCACTCGAATGTACGGAATCGATATGTCCTTTCCTTGTAGATCACCGCGATTGAGGTGCTTCTGTGCTTCTCCTATCGCCATAGACTGCTTCTAACCGTGTTTCGATGCGGTTCCCGGCATGGAGCTGCATCACGAATTGTTCTTTGTTGCTTGGACTTGCCTGGCGCCTCGCCGTTTCCATCGGCAATGTGTGAGGGGTTCTGCCGTATATAATCAAGAGCTGTAATCAGAAGCACAGAATTAGACATTTTGCAAATTCAATGGTTAACCGAATCACGGCAGAGGTGATCAACGACAACATCTTTCTGTCGGGCGACTTTGTGCCTGTCAAGGTGGTGCTAGATATCGAGGAGCCCATCGTGATCAACAGCCTCATATTGACCCTACTGGGGTACGTTATTACCAGTGCTTTTTCTCCACAGAAACAGGTGGAAAGCCCCTCGACGCTTGTTCCTGCCAACGACTATTACCATCGGTTCTTGTTCAGAGCGTTTGAGCTCAATATCGACTCCAAGCTCAATCTTGAAAAAGGCCGCTACGAGATCGAAAGCCGGGTAGAGATTCCCGATAAGAATACGCTATGTGAATGCAAAAGGGCTGAAGTGCCGGAAGAGGCAGAATTGGTTCCACAGCCTACCTTCTTGCTTCCACCTTCATATACCCATGAGACCCAGAACGGCGACTTCATTGCTGTATCCTATCTAGTTCTTCCTCTTGCCAACGAGGATACGCTTGTAGACCCCATGACGGGTCTCGATCCCAAGATTTCGTACTCACCCTGTCAGATCCGAATCCGACCTGCCAAAACCTCGATACCTCCAGGTTTCCTAACAAGCGAGCAGATGTACCTGGTTGAAGCGCAAATTCCCGGAGAATTGGCCTGGAGAATGCGAGTGGATGCTTTTGGCGCCGAAGCGGTGGTTCTATCGCTAGGTCTGAGGCTTACAGCTTGTGCTTTCTTCCGTGCTTATCCGATGAAAGACGATGGGGCCATCAGCCTTACAAAACACATCCGGCCCGGCGAAATGCTCAACCGAGATGTGAGTTTTTCACTTGGGCTTTCGTTTCCCAGGCGGATTGCTGAACTTCCCGATACCATCAAAATCCGGTGTCAGTCCGTGAAGGTGTCGCTTGTGGAGGAGGTGGAGTACCCGAAAATCACATCCAAAGACGGCAAAATGCTGGATTCTTCTTCTACTTTGACAGACATTTCGCTCATCACTTCAAAAGTGAAAACCAGAGAGATCTTGGACGAGGACCTCAACGAGGATGTCTCCTTTGAACTATACCACGTTTCCCAGCCCGAGGACCACAGCGGCCACCAAAAACACTATATATATCAATGTCCCGGCGAGTGGTTTGAGGTTGCTGTTCCGCAAACCCTGACCACTTTTGCTACTGCTGTGCTATCTCACCAATACAAGTTGGTGGTGGATTTCGTCTTTCTGACCATCGAGGAGCCGCTGCACCGAGTCAGCGTCAGCGTGGAGTCGGACGTGTTCATCAACGACGATTTTGCAAAAAAAGAGAGCTATTAGGTTATTTTCAGTGGAAGCTGGTTTTTCATTTTTGACCGAGCCGCACGTTTGCAGCCATTTTTCCCAAACCGCACACTAGTGCCTTACATTCCTTTGAACAAAATAAAACTTAACATATAAACTTTTCTGTAAATATAGCAGCACAAACTTTTCTTTTTTTTTTAAAAAAAGGCTCATGGAATCTGAATAATGTCAGACTCTTCGGTGTCCACGGATTGGGCAATGTAAATGGTGTCGTACTCAAAGTCGTAAACGGTGTAAGTGCGTCTCAAGAAAACATCACCCAAAACGATACCATTGTCAGGGTTCCAGTAGTCGATACCCGCAAGGCAGCCGTTCTTGATTGGTCTCACCACAAAGTCAGCATAGGTCAACTGGATTTCCTGGGTGCCAAAGTTGAAGGTGATGTACTTGTCAGTAGGCTGGTTACAGTCAATGGATCTCTCACCATCATCGTTGATCTTAGCACCAAGTTTTTCGCTGATGTAGTCGACAATGTGGTCAGGGAAGAAGTTCCAAGACGTACCGGTGTCCAACATGGCAGACTTGTTGATAGAAAACTCCTTACCGTTCACATCAAGGCTTTGGAGTGTAATGTCACTGTAGTAGTCGTCACTAATAGGGAAAGGAACCAAAGAACCCTTGTACTTCTTCTTGTCAATACCACCAAAGAGAACCAGTCCCTTGTCGCCGCCATCCTGGGACATGTAGATGGAGTAAGCTGGCTTGTCGATGATACCCTGCTTCACCAAGGCATATGGGAAGTTGTCGTACTGATGCTTAGCGTTTTCCTGGACCTTTCTGGCGATTCCAAAGATAGCTGCAGTATGTTTGTTTTTGGCTTTGTTGACCACAGCAAATTGGAAATCCTTAACGACAGTCCCGTCCTCTAAGGCGACATCGTCCGTGCCGAACTCACCGTAAGATGCGTCGCCGTCAAAGTAGTGGATCTCGAATTTCTCGTTGATGTACTTGAAAGTGTCAGACTCAGACTGGTTGAACATGCCTTCGAAAGATGGACCATAAAACTCATCGTGGACCCAGAGATCAGCGGATCCGGTGTCAATCTCCACCAGGATCTTCTGCTTGTTGGAACCAAAGTACATGTCCATGTAGTAACTCACGTCTCTGTTGTCGTCGAGGTCAGCAGTGGCATCCCTCTTTCTGCTTGGTTTGGATCTGTCAACGTTAAAATCCAATTGCAACACCTTTGGCTTTGGAGCATCATCTCTCTTTTCGCCTGGCTTGGATTTGTCAAAGTCCAATTGCAACACCTTTGGGGTGGATCTTGGGGCAAGGTCTGCTTGAGAATCAGGTTGTCTGATAGCCAAGCCCAGAACGGAGAAGGCCAATGTAAGAAGAGGAATAATAGAAACCATGATGGTTGTTGATGCTACATCACTACAGATATATATACAGATACCTTCAAGTTACACAGAAGCTGGAGGTGAAGAATAGGCTTCCCCGGAGAACTACCAGTGAAGAAATCCAATCTACACAATGCGCAGCGGTTCAACGTCGAGATATCATCGAATCAAAATCCTCCTTTTCCACGCAGGTAGATTGCTTCTTTGTCAAGCTTAGTGTAACATTATGAGCAATGATAAGCACGGTTCTTCAAATGGGTCCGTGCCTCTGTACGGCTTTCGGTTCCAGTTTCCACACATTTTGTCCGATATGAGGTTACAGGACCTATTCCGTGAGGCAATAAGCGAAGGTGCACTTTTAATCTGTGATTGGCTAAGCGTCTCGGCATTAAGCGAAAGATAACGGCTTTGTCTTCGGTACCTTTTATCAACGCTTCGATATGCAAGAGAACTTTGTGCAGCGGAAGTTTAAAGCAGAGAAAAGTGGCATGTGAATGGTCGTCTTGATAAGGAAACAAGCGGACATGAGCGGGCATGGGCGGGACAGAAAAGGGGGTGTCAGATTACACAAACTCAACTTTTTGAAGCGCTTCTTTCAACTTGACCCGAGTGACGTATACCAAGAAAAAATATGCCAATTCCCAGGGGCCCTGCAGCACATACGGTCCGAAAAGCCTGGTTCGGAAAAGCAACCCCATTGTCGAGTCCATGTACAGCGGCTACAATTACAAATGTACGACAGTTGCGTCAACAGGCAAACATTTTTAGTTACAAAATCAATCTAAAGAACAAATCAGCTCATCAAGCCTGGATAATGTCGGTGTTCTCGGTGTCAATTGCAGGAGCAATGGCAACAGTACCGGCCTCCAAGTCAAAGTAGGTGTAAGTCTTTCTCAAAAAGACGTCTCCCAAAAGCAAAGAGTCAGTAGTAGCGGCACTGGCACCCAAAAGACAGGATCCCAGGAAAGGTCTCACAACAAGATCAGCGTAAGACAACTTGATCTGGCTGTCACCGAAATCAAAAGTGACAAACTTGTCGGTAGGCTGGTCACAAGAAATGTACTTGTCACCGTTACTCTTGACAGAAGCACCAAGGAGGTTGGAAAGGTCGTTAACAACATCCTTAGGCAAAATAAGCCAAGAAGTACCGGTGTCCATGTTGACGCTGTGGTCGATGTTGTAGGTCTTACCGTTGAAGTTGACAGTGTTCAACTTGATGTAAGAACGAGTAGGGTGGCTCATCTGGTAAGTGACCAAGTCGCCAGAGTACTTGGCTCTGTCGATACCGCCAAAGAGCACCAGGCCCTTTTCACCACCATCACCGGTCATGTAGATGGAGTACGAAGGCTTCTCGATAATACCAGCATCGACCAAAGCCAAGGGGAAGTTGTCGTACTCGTCCTTGGTGGAAACAGACTCCACACCCTTTCTGGCAATTCCAAAGATGGGAGGGCTGTTGAGGTTGTCCTTACCATCGGTGACGGCAAACTGGAAGTTGTTGATGGAGGTTCCGTCCTCAAGAGTGACGGTGTCCTTCACAAACTCACCATCGATACCAGAGCCGTCCAAGTAGCTGATGGAAAAGTCCTTGTTGAGGTGCTGGAGGGAGCTGGACTGGTCCTCGTTGAAAGCACCTCCAAAGGCATCTCCAGCTTTGGCATTGTGCACCCAAAGATCAGAAGAACCAGTGTCAATGTCCACCTGAAGCTTCTGCTTGTTCGATCCAAGGTACATGTCCATGAGGTAACGAATGTCTCTGGAGTTGTCGAGATCCTCATCTGGAGTGTCTCTCTTGGTGATATTGGCAGACGATCTGTGAACGTCAAAGTCCAACTTCAACACCTTGGGTCCCGACTTCTTGACGAGGTCGTTGGAGGCTTCGGTGGGCTTGATAGCCATGCCCTGGACAGAGAGGGCCAAAGAGAGGAGGGAGAACAAGGAAAGCATTGGTGATGATGTAGAAATGAGAGGATGGGAGGATTTCCAGGCAGCTTTATAGTTTTCCAGCTGGTGATGAAGACCGCTCGGAATTCAATTTCCACTTGTGGAGCCGGCATTCTTGCTACCGTGCATTGTGGCAGGTAGACCCTGCTGTTACGGCGCTTGAATATCGGAGATTCGGCGTATCTACAGCCCAAAACGCTATGGTGATGTCTCAGTAATGCAACTGTCAGCAGAGGTGCAGATACTGCAAATGGTCCGTGCATCCAGGCGGCACCACAAAATCAAAGTTACATCGAAAGCCAGATAACCGCTGAGGCCGGTTTTTGGAACTTTGGGTAGATAGCGCTGGGGTGGAAACTCGCAGATAAACTGTGGCTTTCAAAGCTTCACTTGGTGCAGAAAAAGTATCTGTGGCAGAAGATTTGAAAATGTGACTGGGGTTTGGCCAGGGGTACCGTCACTGAAGACATCTGCGGGATTGGTGATTCACTGACTAAAAGACGAACGTGGTTTGGAGAGCCTCACGGCGTATCGAGCCAGTAAAAAAAGTTCACGATATTACTCTGTTTACCGTTACTTTGACGCTGTGCTGGTAGAGAAGATGTAGTGTTTCATACCCAGCACAGGTGCCTAAATTACACAGCTTTCTCTGTCTCGTTGCTAAATCCGAGAATCTACCCGTTTGGAGCCCTCCATGTGACATCACATCTTTTGCCTCAGGAGATAGTGGTACATGTGGAAAGACCATGTACAGCGGCTGTATCATTGATCTGTTTTCCACTCGGCCTAGCCGGCCCCACGCGTCTCTGCTGCACAGATAACGGCGACTGTTTATTTGGCGGCGTGTTTTGAGGTTGGATAGAAGTTTAAAATTTGAGCTTATCTCTTCACAAAAAGTACCAATGAACATCTTTGAATTCTCGTACTATAGTAATGGCTAAAAGGCTATCACGAGCAACTACAACCAACTTATCAACCGAGGATGGTGATTGTGTAATTATCCGACATGTGAGCAAGATGAATCATGAAGACGTGGGGGAGGGGTCTATCTCGGCTACACAAAGGCTTTTGGGCGGAAGTCAATTTCCGGAGGGTAAGCAGAGTTTAAAACCGGCTAAACATGTATTTTACGAAATGTCATGAGGGGAAGGGTACGTCGTGTTTCGTTTCCAAGCGCTGTTGGGTTATGAAGGCAACCTACCACTTTTTGGAAAGCTCTTTTTTGAAGGTTCTGGGAATCGCAAAAGGCACGGCTAATTGGTGAAGCCACAGAAACGTTGCCAAGATAAAAGCCTCCACAATCTAATCAGACTTATCTCGATGGCAAGCCATATTGGCAAAGACGCACAAAAAGCGCAATACAGCCGCACGTCAACGTCAAAAACCACTCGGATAGTTTATCCAATCAGAGCATCAAAAGCAACGAAAAAGTGAAAAGTTGGAAATGCAATTCCCAACAAATGGCTCTCCAGGCTTCATCCTAGCAATCCCCAAAATGTGCCGCTGTCGTCGTCATCGAGATCGTCATCCACACTGCCGGCACCCAGATTATTCAGATTTTTCAGGTCTTGTCGAACAAGACTATCATCAAAACTTTCGTCGTCCAGGTCTCTCTTTTTCTTCTTCTCTTCGTTCTTGTCAGCGTCCTTATCTGCTTGTTTCTCGAAGAAGAAGTTGCTGACAATGAATATGGAGGCTGCAAACTCCATAGTGGTGGAAAGTACGTACTCGTATATCACCAACTTGTGGTTGATGCCTGCACCGCTGTAGTTGGAAAGCTGGTAGTAGTTCATGTTTTCGATGTAGATGGATAGAATACCAAAGACGCCTCTGACGATTAGGAACGGAGAGGCAAGGAGAATCGTTATATTGAAACTGTTTCCAACTTTTTCCTTTTTGAAGGCATGCAATCCAAGAAGAAGCACAAGTAAGGTCAAGCAAAGGAACAAGGACTGACCGGCGGTTCTCAATCCCTTGGATATCCTGACCTTCTTTCTTTCAGCATCATAATTCTCGATTCCCGTAAGCATGGAGCCTCCAGCAATCACCATAGCATTCGCTGGAACCAAAAACCAGTGAAAGATCGCAGCATACGAGTTTCCCAATGGTATATCCTTCAAGGCAGACTGCTTCTTTTCCAACCACGAGTAGCCAATTTTACGCTTCTGGGCATGAACTAGAAATGAAAACGCCGATAAGATAAGCACAAAGTAGCCTTCGGCCCCGAGAACCAAGTAAGCGATAAGCCATTTATAATGTTCAATTCCCTTGATGGCGAAAACCAATCCGCAAAATTGAGAGCCGAGGCGGATAAACGGAAAGGACATAAGAAATGTGTAAACGGTCTTGAAACCCTTGACGTGAACAATGTAGACCATTACCAAGGCATAAATGGCATAAAGTGCAAGGAAAACAGCCGCAGCGATACCCGAGTCAGTGTGCTTTAGTGCCATAGTAAAGATAGACTTTTGAAGATGTTGAAAGCTTTGGACATTTTTATAGTGAAGTCGAGGTTTTGGATCATTGCAACCCGAATTCAAGCCTTCATTGTTGCAAAATCATGGAGCGGCTGGGTAGCGCTTACGTAAGCGCAAGTCGAACTTTACTGATTTTACCACTATCGACCTTTGGAAGCTATCTCTAACATTGCAACGGAGATAAAGGTACTGCTATCGAGGTGAGTGAGAGGATTTGGGAAAAAAGAACTAACTTGATATTTACGAGATGATGCCTTCAAGAAAAGCTTCATACCAGTGCTCAATGCGCCGTATCAAGGAAGGACCCTTCAGTTATTCTTCGCTTAAAAATTCTGAATCTCACCCCCTCCCTTCTAATTTGCCCTAATCCGGGTGAATCTTGGACTTGCTTACGTAAGAGGCGTGGGAAGACGTATCGTTTATGCAGCTTTCTGTCAATTTGTTCACGTACACTGCCCCAGAAGTCGGTTTACGAGGTGTCAAAATATGACGTTTATTTGAAGAATAGGTAGCGCCCAATTGTACTACAAATGCAAAACTTATACCATTAATTTCAATGCTTCTCGCTATCAACGAAAGCCTGGTCCAGACTACAAGAGTCCAGACTCTCCGCATCCTGTCTGTTCTTGCTTTTATCCAAAAAGAAGTTACTCAAGATAAACATGGACGCCACAAACTCCATGGTTGTGGAAAGAACGTACTCATACACAACCAACTTGTGATTGATGCCTGAGCCACTATAGTTGGAGAACTGAAAATAGTTCATGTCCTCAATGTAAATGGAGAGGATACCAAAGATACCTCTGACGACCAAAAACGGACAAGCCAAAAGGACGGATATGTTGAAGTGGTTGCGAACTCGTTCTTTCTTGTATGCGTAAGTAGCAAATACAAGCACCACAACGGTCATCGAGAGGAAAATTGCTTGACCTGTCGTTCTCATGGCTTTTGAAGCGGAAACCTTATCTTTTTCAGCATCAAGATCGTCCACACCTGTAAGCATAGTACCTCCTGCAATAACCAAGGCATTTGCTGGAATCAAAAGCGAATGGAACATGGCCGAGTAGGACTTGACAAAGGGGAGACACAGTAGGTGCAGACGCTTCTGAGTTACCCAGGAGTCACCGAATTCAAGTTTCTGCGCATGGGTCACGAAAGTAAACGAACACAAGATAAGCACAAAGTAACCTTCAGCACCCAAGACCAAGTATGCAATGAGCCATTCCCAATGCTCGAATCCCACTATGGAAAACACCATACCACACAATTGGGACCCAAAACGAAAGAAGGGGAAGGTAAGGAGGAATGTGTACACCGTCTTGAAGCCTTTTTTGTAGATGATGTAGACCATGAAGACACAGTAGATGGAATAGAGGGCAAGGAAGATTGCTGCTGCAATGCCCGAGTCGGAGTGTTGGAAACCCATGTTGATGAATGATTTGAGAATTTTTTTTTGAGGTGGAAACGGTTTATCTTTATAGTGATCGTCTTGGATCCTGGATGTTTCAACGGCGCTTACGTAACATTAGCTGCAAAATAGCTAAGGCTGCAACGCCGCTTACATAAGCCCACAACCGTCACCACGCGCCGCAGTCTTATCTAAGAGATGGAGAGGGATATTGAATTGAAGGCATTGAAGTTTCAATATATTTTCGGATCTTCAATTGTGCCTTTTGCCAACCTTCTTCGAGTTGATGTCTCGAATACTGTCGAATACCTGGGCGCTTTGTTTTTCTTGACTATGGTTATTTTTCGTCCATGACCTATTCAGCCGCGTGGCTTCGCCTCGAGATCCGTGAAGAAGCCTTTTTTGTGTCGGGAACTTGACGCTTTTTGCTCCTTCATTGGTGATGTTCAAAGTGCGCTTATGTAAGCGGACTTGGGAGATGCGTCATGTATGCAGTACAGACACACTTTTTGGAGCGGTCTTGTAGTAAGACAGGCTTTTTTACGAGCGTTTTTCGTGACCGGCTGTATGGGGATCTTCCGAACTCCGCCGAATATTCGGACCGATGCGGCGACAGATAGAGCTGAAATTAAAGTATTTTCTATAGATCCGGAAATTTCTTTGATATGGGATGTCAATTGATCCGAGGTGTGGAACATAAGCCGAAAATGGCTAGGTGGGTAGATAAAAATTGGGATTTTTGTCAGTGTTTCATTTACGTACTACTTAACTTTTGGCATATCGAGAGGCTGAGCACACAGCATCGTTGATGTAGCTCGGTACAGGGAGATTGCACCATTGCGGCTTGACGTGAAATTCTCTGACAATTCAGAATAAGAGAGAAGGTGCACTAGTCTGCATTAGAGAAGGATCAAACGTAGATTAGTTTGCCTGAAGCTTTCCATAACCACGAATGGGTGAATTCCAAGTATTAGACGAACTAAGTTTGCTTGGGGATTCTCATAACGAGGCACTGGGGAGGTTCCAAGCCAGGAGAGGATAAGTCACTTCTACAGGTTTTCATCATTGAGAGATTGGTTCTTATGCGGCATTGCAAGACGATGAGAGGTTACACAAGTCTCTAGAGAATTAAAGACTTATCAAGGAAGCGGTTATTCATGAGGACAGTAAGGAGTTTCGCATGGGAGGTGGCCCAATAGAGACCATAATTGAACCAAGTCACAAATCCTGGATGTTAGCCACAAATGGCCATTGAATGTCGTTTGTTCTCGTCAAGGTCCTAAGTTTCACTTTATCTCTATTGTGGTTTCTAACAAACCGTGATACAACATATTCTGCTGCAAGTCTTCAGTTTGTCGATTTTGGCCCGTTTGCATCAAATAACCACAATTGCAGCATCCAAGTAACCTTTTTGCCCTGGAATGCAGCCCTGGCTATGAATTTGCAGATTTGATGAACTCAATTCCGAGGTACTGTGTCCGTCAATCTCTTATAGCACCGAGCTCCACCGAGTTCGGCTCGATTCGGCTTTTAAACGACATATAGATAAGGGTCCCATAGCTGCATGGAAAGACCTTGAAAAAACATATTGATACATTCAATGATTCCTCAAAACTTCAATGGTGACCAGTCCTTTGGAGGCCCCTTCCATAACACTATCGTCGCCATGAAATGGCCGAATCCAAATCAGTTATAGATTTCCTGGAGAAGACGAAAAGCAAGCACAGCCCTGAGTCAACAAATGGCAATTCCTTAACCTCATCCCATGAATGGACTAATGTTCAAAAAACCTTCAACTTTCAAACAGAACTCACCACCACAACTATGGCGCCACAAACGCCCAGCAGCCGACAATTTCACCGCCACAATGCCCCAACCCCCAAAATAGCCCCCTCAGCCAATCCAACAAAATAGCCCCCTCAGCCAATCCAAAATCCGTGATTCGCCTGGAAAATCATACCACTTCCAGGCCAGCCTTTGCTTCAAGTCCTCGTCGATTGGCCCCTATTTTGCCCGTCAGATCGCTCGTCTACAAAGCTTATACCTGCCAAAACCACGTCAAAAGCAGCCAAGAAAAAAACCAACCTATGAGCTTTTCGACGAGGATTTACGGCTTTTCCAATTCTGCATTTGGGCGGTTGCGACTGGAAACGCCTTACGCACTATGTATGGAGATCTTGACAGCGCCAAGAGGAGTTGAAGGGAAAATACGAACGTCAGCGGCGTGAAAATAAGGTTGATGATGAAATATCTGAATAGTCAATGTTTCAAAAGATTTGTCGTCCCTGGCTAAGCCGATCACGATCACCTAGGATTGCCCGGGTTTTGGCCGGACAAAGCCCCCGTTTGTACAGCACCCTGCAACACACCAAATTTCGTGTTTAAAAAAAAGAGGCCGTGCAGAACGCTCATTGGCTGTGGAAATGTCATTGAGGTTTTGGCACAAGATGGCACTCCGTATGTGCAGCGTTTTACGGTTTCGGCAACTAAGCACTAGCGTTTGGAGAATTTAGCGAATGGGAATTTCAGGCCAGGGCAGCAGCCAAGAAATAGATTTTTGAAAAACTAAGCTGTGAAAAACTTCGCTGTGAAAAACTTCACTTTTGTGTGGACAATGAAATTGTGGTTCTGCCTGTGCCTGGCGCATGCCCGTTTCTCGGATTGTTCCTGAATTCGGCGTTTGACAGGTTGACAGCAACCAGTGCGTTTTTACGGTCTTGAACACCGAACCTCACAAGACGAAGAGGGAAAATACAACCGACCTGGGATTCTGACCAATGAAAACTCTTCAACTTCCAATTTTTTACGTCTGACTCGGTTGCCCATGCTTCCTTCGAGAATGATGCGGCTTACTTCGCTTTGCCGAAAGAGTATGCCAAGGCCCACCTGCAAAACTCGAGAGCTTATCTAAAGAATCTGAGGCCGCTTTGTGACCCAAGTTGACTGCTTTTTTTGCACGAAGCAATAAATTAAATTGTTCCGTTGACGATTGCCCTCCCAAACAATCTCCATAGTCCGGCGATCTGGGATCTAGCAAAAGTGGAAAATCCCTGCAGTGGAAGAAGGCGGTGCAAACTAAGCTTCCGAGGCACATGTTCAATGGATGCGTAGTGCCAAAAATTGAATGGGAAAAAAAAGGCACCCGGTATGATTGGACCTGCCTGGAGGCTTACGCTTGCAGATTTTTCGAAAAAGCCACTGATGGATCAGATAAAATTGACTGCTATTGGTTACGTTTTTACCGCCGGACGAGGCCTGGCTCATCAGACCAGATCCACCGTTTTCTCTTTATAAATACCCCAGCCGCTCGTGGGTTCCTACTCTATATGCTCTCGAGGTACATCTTTTTATGCTTTCTAGTGGCCTCGGCTACTGCTGCAGGCCATAGCTCCATCTATGAATTCTACGGTAAAGACGCCTACCAGTACCATGGATGCACTGGATTTCTCCAGCTGGCGGCCACTTTTTGCACTGGAAAAGTGGGAAAGCACGATACTTCGTGTTTTTGCAAAAACGACAATGCTGTGGCCTCCGTTGTTGGATGCATGGACGACATTGGCAAGTTGAATAAGGGTGCCATGAAGTACGTGATCAGATCGTGCAACGAGTACAACATCCCGTTGACTTTTGACGATTTGGAGAAGTACAACAAGATGTACCAGGAGAAGGCCAAGTTTCCCAGTGAGATCGAGGGCTTCAACAAGACGAAACCGGTGGATGTGCCTATCAAGGCTAACGTCTCGCTTGCTACGAGCTACTATGAGTCGTACTACATCTTTCTTGGAAATTTCGACAGGGCCATGTACTACGGAGCTGGTGCTTTGGGCTACTGGGCGTTGGTGTTTCTTATGGCTATTGTTGCAAACTGGGCCGTGGTGATCTTTCCATCCTTGAGAACCACCTTCAACGGACGTCTTTCGAAATTTTGGAGAAAACACATCACTTTGCCTGCCTTGGTGAGAAAGAAGAAGAACGACCACCAGAAGAACCTCGGTTTGTTCAACTGTCTTGTGCCTTCGAGAATGGAATCGCTTATTGTGTTTGGCTTCTTCTGGCTTGTGTTTGGATCTTGTTTCGGACAAATCAGAGTGGTTCCTAATGACCCCATTTTCCCTCAAAGCTCCATCGCCATAATGAGAGTTGTGGCAGACAGAACCGGTATCATGGGTACGGTGCTTCTTCCGTTGCTTTTCCTCATTGGAGGCCGTAACAACTTCTTGCAGTGGTTGACCAGATGGAAGTTTTCCACCTTTATCATGTACCACAGATGGGTGGCCAGGATCATCGTGTTGCTTGTGTTCATCCACTCTGTGCTCTACTCGGCCATCTACGTCAAACAGGGAAGATACGCCAGAAGCATGAAGAAATTGTACATTCAGTACGGTATTTTGGCTACATCCTGCGGTGGTCTTATCTGCTTCCAGGGCTTGTTGCTTTTGAGAAGAAAAGCGTATGAGGTGTTCTTGGTAGTCCATATTCTTCTTGCAGTCGGTTGGGTTATTGGAGCATGGCACCATCTTGAAAAATTCGGATACTTGCCTATAATCTACGCCACGATCGCCGTCTGGGCATTTGACAGATTCATCAGAGTCGCCAGAATGCTCTGGTTTGGATTCCCAAAAGCCCAGGTTACGCTAGTCGAAGATGAGACTTTGAGAGTTGTGGTTCCCAAACCCAAGCACTGGAAGTCCGTTCCTGGCGGCCATGCCTGGCTCTACTTCTGCCGTAGCTGGTACTTCTGGCAGTCTCATCCATTCACGTTTTTGGAGTCCACCACGGACGAGAGCAGTATTGTGTTTTTGTGCAAAGTGAAGAAGGGTCTTACCGAGAAGATTGGCAAGAAATTGGCCCTCGTGCCTGGAAAAACATTTTCTTGTCGTGTCAGCGTGGAGGGATCGTATGGTGAATCGTGCCCTGTTTCCAAACACAGCAGTGCTGTTTTCCTCGCTGGTGGTAACGGTATTCCAGGTATCTACTCCGAGATCTACGACTTGGCCAAGCGTTCTGTGAACAACACCAAACAGATGCTCAAGCTTGTGTGGATTATTCGTGAGCCAAAGAGCTTTGCGTGGATGTTTGAGGAAATGGAGGCTTTACGCCATACCAAGATCCAGACCACCATTTACATCACCAGACCGGACTTGTCCAACAACGAGGATCTCTTGTCGATGCTCAGCAGAAGACTTGAAACATCCTCTTCTTCTGAAGAGCTGGACAAAAAATTGGAGAAGGAGGAGTACATCTACGAAACCGACAGTCTTGTTCTGCGTTTGAGAGAGCAGTTCCCACACATCAACTTCGAAACAGGCAGACCGTCCATCAGCAACATCGTTCAAAGCGAAATTGACGAGTGCAGCAACAGCGCTGCTTTCATCAGTTGTGGACACCCTGCCATGGTGGACGATTTGAGAAAGTCTGTGGTTGAAAAGATCGACTCCACCAACAAGAGAATCGACTTCTACGAGCAGCTCCAGGTGTGGGCATAATTATGTTAAATAGAATCAACTTTTAGAGAAACCCCCACGGGACACACGACTCCGGTGGGAGTCAAGGGACAATTGTTGTTTTCCAAGGAAAGCTGGTATTTCTGTAGGATTTCTGAAACGAAGGTTCTGGCCTGGGTTAAAGCAAACTTCTCGCCTAAACAGGCTCTAGCTCTACCGTGAAAGGCAGGAAGAGTGCACTTGCTTTTTGCAGTAGCGTAGTTTTTCCACACCTCTTTGATATCCAGACCCCATCTCGAAGGCTCAAATTCGTCGGCATTCGGACCCCAGTAGTTACGGTCTCTTTGGGTGAAAAGGTTGTGGTACCCAACAAAGACGCCTTTGGGAATGACGATATCCTTACCAAGAACGGTGGGACAAGAGGTTCTTCTGTTGATGATCTGGGCGATTGGAGGGTACAATCTGAGTGTTTCTATGATGGTCAGGTTGAGCAAATAGCATTCACTGAGATTTTCACAACCTGCAATCTCCTTTCTTATGTCTTCCTGAAGCTTCTGGTTTCTCCCAAGAACGTAAACCAAAGAGGTGAGAAGAAGCTGTGGGTTTTCATGTCCAGCCACCAACGCAATCACAGCATTATCTTGAAACTGCTTTTCGCTGATTTTGCCGTCTTCGTACGCCTCAGAAAGCCTGACACCGAGCTTGTTGCCGTTTTCAGACCGTTTTGCAGCCAAAAGTGCGTCCATGTAGGTATTCTTGAACTCCACCACAGACCTTCTGGCTTTCATTCTGCTTCTTATTGGAAACATGTCTAGAACAGGAAAGTAGAAGAAAAGAGGTCTGAATAGCTGCTGCTTCAAGCGCTTCAAAGTGTTGTAAAGTGGTGCGTGTTTAGCATCATCCCAGGTCTTGAAGTCGAGTCCAACTATACATTCACCGACGTTGGCCAAAGTGTATTTTTGGAGGATGTCCCCAACTGAAGTGTAACTGTTGGTAAACTTTTTTAAATGTTCACAGAGCTTTTGGGTGTTTTTCGCAAGTGGCTCCAAATCAGGAAAAAGAATGCTGTTGGATATCACACTTCTATAGAGTTTCCAGTTGTTCGTGCTGGCACTAATGACGTTGTCCCCGGTGTATTGAGACAAAAGGGACCACGGGATTTTGATCTGGTTCCCACATTTTTCGTATACCTGGTCTTGTTTCAAGATTTGTGAAAGATACTCAGGCTTGGTCACCAAGATGTTCCACATCGAAGCAAAGTACACCTTCACTGCACCGTGCTTTTCCACCAAATCACGATAGTACTCGTTGAAAAGCCGTTCCTGGTCCCAGCCTTTGTACTTGGCTACAAGAATGGCATAAAACGGAATGGTGGGTATATTTTTGGGAAAGTTTGAAGGAGGGAGCACGATCTTTCTGATTTCATAGACGATAACCAAAAAACCAATCAAGTAGAGCGCTTCAGCGCTGAAGAAGAACGACATGGCCGGTAAGGAAGCCAAAAAGCCTGCAAAAGCATTTTATATGATAACCTCATGGCGCTCGACTACATCGCCTTTTGCAAATACGGTAACTACAACACCCGCTCATAAAATAAATAATTTAAAATGCCGTGGCTGAAACTCAAAGATACACTCTCAGAATGATGTCCCGATCAAGAAGACAGTTCCAGCCCAAACCGGCCTCGGTATCTGTTCCCCACACAGACACCAAAAACCGGCAGATCTGGTCCAAAAACTCCATCTGGAACCTGGAAGCACACCGCTGACACTGGGAATAGATGTAATGCTGCTGCGATGCAGACGATGTTGCTATTCCACAGACCAACAATGGCCAGGTGCAAATAATCCAAATGGGCGAGTCACCAGACAAAGCACAGAGTTTGTGGATGATCTTGGTGACGATTTCCTGGACCAGCGGGTCGTCCCGTTCAAGCATCGGGAACAAAAGCTTATGCAAAAGAAGGAGGCAGCAGTTCTGTAGCATGTCTGCTAGGTAGATGCTCTCCCGAACATGGATCAACTCGTGGGGGAGAAGCTCCTGTTCTGCTTCTGGGGTAATTGTAGGAAGCGGTGTGGTGTAGGTCTGGCTTAGAAGCCCACAAACAACCCCTTTGTCTTCAGGCGAAAGAGGAAGATGCGAGAAGTACCAGGACACTTTGGCTGCGATTTCGTAAAAGTGCCTTGCAGCGCCGAAAATGGGGTACTTCATGAATGGAAGAGCAGTCCGAAACGGCGAGTAATCAAGAATCGGGCGCCATTCGTCGTAGACCTGAAAAGGCGACGGTAGCCGCAGAACCACCTCCTGGGTCCCGGTCAAAAGCATGACGGTGTAGTTGAACAAGAAGGTCTCGATCAAGAACTTGAGCGAAACGACACTCAGTTTGCCGCTTTGCCGGAGCTGGCGGATCATTTCAAGAGCTTTTGCCAAATGTGAAGCAGGCACTATCGCCAGGGTTCCACTGAACTTGTCCCTGAGACAAAGAAGAATCACCGCCGCAACCATCCACTCCTCCACCCCGTCCCGAGGCCTGCTCAAGGAATTGGCAAAGTTTGTGAGGCAAAGCGAGTACCGTTTTTTCGCCTCGTGCTTCATGGACGGATCCCTGCTGCTCAAAAATGACGCTCCGCATGCGTTGAAGACGTCCATCATGATCGGGCTCTGCAGAGCATAAGGCACGAAATTGGCCAGAGGCAGAAGCCTAGGATGACATGCTTGGGGAGATACGGATTTGAGAAAACCGTCGACGAAAGCCTGGAAAAGAAACGGGCTCTCCATGGGTCCAAACGAGCCGCCCCAGCCCAGAAGCCCGCTAGCAGGACTTAGTGGAAAAAGCTGCTCGTCGATCGGTAGTATCTCCTCGAAAGCCGTTTCTGCTATGGAACCGGCAGTGACGGGAGGTTGAAACGACACATTTCCAGGCGAGCTCTCCACACTGGCCTCCTCCTTCTGGTCCCCCGTGTAAACCACAAACTGGTAGCGTGGTTTCGAAGGAAGCTTCTCGATCTGGAACTCGTCGTGATGAGACAAACTTTGTTTCTCGGCACTGGGCCACATGCACCTGACATTGGACCGCTGACACCCCGAGCAGCTCGGCCGGACCTCGTCACATTTAACTTTTCGCCTTCGACCTGGAGTTAGCAGATAATATGGATAAACTTTCAAGGAACATACACGTTAGGCACCCCAGACGGGTCCTTCGCTTGGCACTCATGGAAAAACAGCCTATCTGAGAAAAATCGCTCCCACCGTGAGCGGTGCAGCCGAGATAGTGACTCGAGGCGGGTTTATCTCTGGCAGAATAGATACGATTAGCCGCCGTCCTTGGACAATGTTACGGAATTTCGCATGGCTGCAAAAGTGCAAGCGACCCTGTGCAGCACATGCTCTCTCTAAATGACGCACGAGGCACAGGAGCTTGACAGGCTGCTATCTGGCCTGCTGCAGATATTATCTTGACTGCTATCAACCGTATTCCCCGATTTGGCACCCGCCTTCGCTTATCGGGGCTCCTGGCGAAGTACAAATACTGGCTTCGTTCCGCGTCTTCCGCAAACAGCATGTTTGGCGAATACATCAACAACACTGAGGACCCGAAAAAGTATGAGCTCTGGGTCCCTAAGATCAAAGCTTATAGAGAGCGTTTGCAGGAGGGTGTGAAGCCGGAGTACAGTTTACCGGATTATTCGTTGCCCAGTGAGGAGGAGTTGGAGAGGGGCATTGACGCCCGGGCTTTGGCTGCAAAATGCCTTACTGGCGAGGAAATTGAAATTACTTCTTCTTCGGCTACAGACTTGGTGCAGCGTATGGCGACGGGCCAATTGACAGCTGTAGAGGTTCTTAAGGCTTTTGCCAAAACGGCAACGGTGGCACACCAATTGACCAACTGTGCCATGGAGCTTTTCATCGACGAGGGCATGAAAAGAGCCGAGGAGCTTGACGCCTATTTTGCCGAGCACGGCGAGACCGTGGGGCCTTTGCACGGGTTGCCTGTGTCCATGAAAGAGCACTATGCGTTCAAAGGCAAGATTGCCCATGCGGGATACGTGGGTAAGTTGGATAACGTGAGTGACGAGGACCTGGCTATCGTGAGAGACTTGTACAACCTGGGAGCTGTTTTCTATGTTAGAACCACGGAACCGCAGATGTTGATGCACCTCTGTTCCAACAACAACATCACGGGAAAGTGCAGAAACCCATGCAACACGCTGTTGACCCCTGGCGGCTCTTCGTCTGGTGAGGGTGCAATTGCAGCCATGAACGGCAGTGCTTTTGGCATTGGTTCCGATATTGGCGGCTCCATTAGAGGTCCTGCTGCGTTTTGTGGAGTTTGGGGCTTGCGTCCTACAACAAAACGTATTTCTTTGGCTGGTGTGGCTAACCCATATGACGACCAGTCTCCCGACGTTGTGTACCCTACTTTGGGGCCAATTGGAAGAAGCGCCGACGACCTTGCCTTGTGCATGAAGGCGGTCATTGACCAGAACCCATGGGAAAAAGATCCCTTGGTTTTGCCCATTCCCTGGAAAGATGTGCCTGAGCCCGAGCCCAAAAAGCTCAAGATCGCCATTTGCTACGACGACGGGTTCGTCAGGCCCACCCCGCCCGTGCTTAGAGCTCTTAAAACAGCCAAATCCAAGTTCGAGGCCGCAGGCGTGGAGGTGGTTGAGTGGAAGCCCTTGGATGTTCAGAAAATCGTCTACACCTGCTATGTCGCCTACAATTTCGACCAGAACTACGGTCAGAAAGCCCGTCTTGCACTTTCGGGCGAGCCCGTGGTGCATTTGAGTCAAAAGCATCTTTCTTTTGGTCTTGGTGACGGTGCTGTTTCTGGGCTTGAGGTCCAGAGACTCGTGAACATTAGAGACAAGTACAGATGCATCTACATGGACAAGATGAACGAGATGGGCATCGACTACATTCTTACTCCGGCGTACGTTTCCGTGGCTGCAAAACCAGAAACCATCACTTACTGGGGCTACACTTGTTTGTGGAACATTTTGGATTTCCCCAATGTGTCGTTTCCTTCAGGCCTCAGCGTTCTGCTGGAAGACAGGGTCGACAAGTCGTTCAAGCCAAGAAACGAAGTCGAGGAGTACGAATACAGCCTCTACACTGGCCCTGATGACTTTGTCAATGCTCCAATTGGCTTGCAGTTGACTGGAAGACGCTACACTGACGAAAGCGTCATTCAGGCTGCCAAGGTGTTGGCTGAAGTGATGCAGGACGAGCTGACGGTGACGCAACGCGCCGTGTTATGATCCATTCATTATGAAGCTTCCTGGTGAAGCGCTATTTATGCAATTCGATATATGCGATGGGGTTTTGTAGGGGTATTGTTTGGGGTGGAGTTTTTTGAGGAGGTGAGGAGATGAGTGTTTTTTCAAAAGGTGGAGTCCCTGAAGAACCCCACGACCAATCTCTCTTCTCCATATATAGATGTGAGTGGTTCGTTATCGACTGTAGAATCAACACCAGCATGTTACCTACATATCAATGGGAGCCCAAAATAAGGTCCCTACATTTTATTTATAAATTTTATCAACAATGACTCTTCATTCTAAGTACAAAATCATCATCTCACGAAGTTCTGGGGCCACTTTACTGGACCAAACGGTGTCCGACCTGCATATACCCCATATCAACATCGGTAGTAGGTCCACATCAAGAACATCAACTTCCTGGTTCTCCCAATGAGTGCATTTGCAGCTTTCCGAAAGCTGTCCAGAAGTACGCCAGAACTACCGTCTTACAGTTCCCCTTTTCCAAACAATACCTTAAGTTCCAATGTCAAGTTAGGCGCCAGAAATGCCATATTCGCAGACTCCTCCATCCTAATAGGCCTCAATCCAGGGGATTATGTCACTGCAAGTGGCACATACACATTGAAGATTGTCAAGGGAAGTGCATTGATAAACAGCTTGCACAATATTGACAGTGAACAAACTTATAATGTGATCACAAACGCAAATGAACCGCTACCCGTTATCAGTGGAGTCGATAATCCTACACCTAAAGATTCCATACTACCTTCTTTTCCAACAGTTATTGAAATCCAAAATTACGATACGGGTATTCAGCAAATCGGTCGCATCCAGGAACAAGTAAAAGGCTTGTATCTAGATAAACCCGATTCACAGTACACCTTCGATGTGAAGGAAGAAGGTGATAATGACACTGAGGGTATAAGAATTGACCAAAGCGCATTTAAAGCAGTTACAGAGGTGGGAAACCGTTTAACAAATAAGTCAGAGGTGGTCTTGGTCGCTGGAGCTGCATTCAGTGGAAAACTGACCATGGCACATTTGCTTCTCAACTACATCACCATCAATTCACCCGTGGCATTCCTAGATTTGGATCCGAATAGCGGCAGGTTTTCACCTCCAGGCTGTTTATCATTGAGTGTGCAAAGCCAGCCGTGTTTTGGAGTGTTCATACCAAACGGTGAGCTGAAGGGAAAAACACTATATTACGGTCACAATAGCCTGACGGCCTTACCCACGTATTTCATGAAATGTGTGCGTGAATTGAAGGATTACTATGAGTCCAAGTTGCTGAAACATCCCCTTATTGTGAATACACCACCAGGCATCAAAGGCCTAGGTAGGGAGCTACTCTCACAGATATCTGCACTTTTCAAAACTTCAGTTCTTGTGTACCTATCACAGAACGGCTCGCCTGAAGTTGAATCTTTTGAAGATGATTTCGAGGTCCAGGATAACCCAGACGACGAGGTCATTGCTGATCTAACCCACAACACACTCTACAAGGTCCACGCTACACGAAAGAAACCGAGGTTTCTGAACTACGCCCACGAAATTGCCTTACTCCAATACTTCCACAGAATTGAAAGCAAATACGACTTCTCGTTTCTAGTGGAGCTGCCTCCTCAAATGGTGAGCTATTCACGTGGGGATCCTCATGGGGTACCGCATGTGGTTTCTCTCCACCAGTCTATTCAAAAATTGAGCAAGGAAAATGTCGAGGAGTATTTGGAAGCTTCTGTGGTCGCCTTGTGCTCTGTTGATTTACCACTGCACCTTGCCAGCAAGACATATCCTCAAATCATCACGACAAACGACTTTGTGAACTTAAGCCACGACATGATCTGCCTTTGCATCGTCCATCTGATCAGCAAAGATGGGCACTATCTAGTCTATCTTCCGAGAAACTCATCCGTGACACTGCGGTTGAGAGAAGAGACATCAAAAAAGAGGTCACTTGCATTTGTCAGGGGAGATTTTGGTATTCCTTCTGGTGAGTTTTTAGCTCCCCATTTTGAAGGCAGAAGTATTCCGTACCTTGTTCCAGAGCCACTTAGTAAAGTAGGTGGTGTCTGGAACGTTCGAAAGAATCTAGGACGCAAGAATCAACGGTGATGCAGTTGGTCCTAGACCACAACCAAACTCCAAAACCTATCATCATTAAAACAAGCTTCCAAAAAAAGACAGTCCATGCATTTCTTCCGGCTTCGGAAATTTTCAATCCATGCCGTTGGATCATGTCGTGTGCCCTGACTGCAGAAATGGGTGCAAAACGCACAGAGGAAGGACCTGAAGCGAGAGAACACAAAACCCAATTTTCGAGAGCGATCCAGTCTAAAATCTCACATTTTCCTTTCTTTACACTCACTTTCAAATGAATCAATCTTCCTTGAATGGCCTTCCATCGAACCCTGTGGACTTGCAATGACGTTGCTGTGCGGCCCACACGCAGGTCTCAGTGCATTTTCCATTGAGGTGTTCCAAATCGACAACAAACCACTCCACACTTTATGAAGTTCTTGTCATTTTGCAGCCTTCTCACGGCTGCAGCGGCTCTTTTGCCCGAGGGTATGATGGCTGGCGATAAGGATGTTACGCCAGGTCGCCAATCGCTTCCTAATTTATTCACCGTTGATTCAGCTGGTAGCATCGAGGGTTGGGAAGTTTCTGGATCCTTGAAGCTCGATGCTGGTCGTTTGGCGTTTGAAAAAGGCCAGGGTGCTCTTTGGTCGAAACAGCCATTGGCCAACTCTGTGGACGAATGGACCATCGAGACGGTTTTCAGAAACTCCGAGAGTGTGGAAACCACCGACCACTCTTTCGTGGACACGAATGGTCTTGCTTTTTGGCTTGTCCAGTCGCAAAATACGCCTAACTTGAAGAAGGATCAGACGAATTTCGGTGGTCCAGCGGTGTTCGACGGTTTCCAGTTCTTGGTGAACAACAAGGAAAAGCCAGGTATCAAGTTGTACTCTGGCGACGGCACCAAACACATTCCTAACCAGCTCGACAACGCTCTTGGAACGTGTCTGTTCAACTACCTTGATTCCATGGTGCCTTTCACGCTTCGTATCTCCTACTCCACCAAGAAGAACTGGTTCAAGGTCCAGATCGACAACAACCTTTGTTTCAAAACGGATGCCATCTCGTTCAAGAACCTCGAGCAAGACTTTGACTTTGGTGTCACCGGCGCAGTTGATGGCGACTCCAAGGAATACTGGGAGATTCTCAAGTTATCCGTGTACAACCAGCTTACCGAAGATGCCATCGATGACCATGCTATCCTTGCAGACGGTGCAGTTAGGGTTGTTACTGTCACTCAGCAAGAAGAAGAACCAACTTACCAGCCCTCTTTTGGTAGAGAGTCTCTCATGGAGAGAACAAGGAAGTGGAAGGAGCAGATAGAGAAGGAGCAACAGCAGGAGAACCAGCAACAACAGCAACAGCAGCAACAACAACAACAACAAGCTCAAAATCAGCCACCCGTCAGAATTGAACTGCCTTCTGTGGATCTTTCTGAGGTCACTCAGAAGCTCAACAACTTGGAGAGTTTGATCAAGCAGGTGGGTACCTCCAACAATCAGCCAGATCCTCTGATTCTCAACCAGATTGTGGAGTCTCAGATCCAGCAGATCCAAATTCTTGAAGTGTTGAAAGACAATTATTCCAAGTTGGAACAGCTCATCCAGAGTCAGAACAATGACATTGCGAGATCCATTCTCAACGAGTTCAACAAGCATAGAAAGGAATTGGGTGATTTGGGCAAACACGTTCAGTCCCTTGCTGCCAGTGGCAACCGCCAGCTGGAAAGCGCTTTTGCATACGAAAACGATAGAGTTGAAAGCTTCCAACGTTATCTGAAGTGGATCATGATCTTCATGATTGCTGCTCTTGTCATCATCTGTGTTTTCGTCTATCGTATCAGAAAAGACGTGAAGCACTCGAAGCTACTCTAAACTAGAATTATATAATCTTGTAAAATACACAATACGTAATGCCAAGGAGGGCAATGGTTCATCTCTTTTTAGGTTTTAAATCGTCATTCGTAGTTCAAGCATGCGAAAGGTAGCTGCCAGTAGTCAAGCTTCTGAAGCTTGGGATGCTGAGTCCCTGTGAATCCAAGATTGGCACGTACGTTGTAGGTGGGTCAACCACATTGAACTTAAGCTGCACGCCGCTTGGAGCCTCATTAGCCTTACCGTTGGTGGTAAATCTGGCAATCAACTTCTCTTCCTGAACTGTACCGTCCAACACCAATGGCTTGGTGTATCTCCAGGTGATTCTGTTCTTGTCCTTGTTAAAGGAGCCCTCGGGTTTAGAAGATGCCGATGTAGACTGGGCAGTGTGGTCCAAAGAGGCGGAGATCACCAAACCATCAAGCTGAACCAGTTGACCGAATGCTGGGTTATGCGAAAGCTTGATGATGAGACTAGCTTGGTGAGGCTCAAACTTCCAGATTTGTCTAACGGTAACAGGAGCCTGGCTCTCGTCTAAGTTGGCAATGTATTTGAGACCACCCAAAGTGCGCGAGGCGATTTGAGAAAGGTCCAAAGAGTATCTGTGCTCACCGATTTGCCGCATGAATTGCTCGTTCAACAAGAATTTTGTGAAAGGCACTGGGATGTTGATCTCCTGAGGTTGCTGGGTGGACACCGCAGAGTTGTAGTTGAAGGCAACCTCACCAAGAACATGCGCCTTGGTCACATTTCCGCCCTTGAAGGTAACATTGATAATTTCAGCAACAGATGTGTGAAGACCCTCGTTGACGAGAGCTTGGCTAGAACCAAAGTGCTTGAATTGGTTGTCGTGTCTGAAGAACGAGTTACCAGTGTTTTGGCTGACCAAAGAGGTACGAGTACCAGCCTCGTCGTGAGGAATACGGGGCTGAATCATCAGCTCTCTGGCAGGAGGAAGGTTGTGGAACTGACCAGAGTGGAGGTCCCTACGGTTAAGGGTAGGGTCGGTCGAGCTGTGGACCTTTCTGGATGGGGGAGGTGGAGGAGGTTGCTGGTGAGTTGCCTGAGATTGTCTTGGTTGTTGAGGCTGTTGAGCTTGCTGGGTTTGTGGAGGAGCCTGCTGCTGTTGATGAGAGTTGAGGGCAGCAACACCTGCTCCACCAGCAATTGCACCGGCACCAACGCCAGCAGCTATACCGGCAGCATTAGAGCTTTCACGGCTGGGTGTCTCCTGGGAGTAAGAAGATGGTGGGCTAGGTGGAGGACCGACTTCACTGGCAATGTTAGCAGCAGTAGAGCTTGTTGGAGGCACATCACTGAGCAGACCAGGACGGCCAGAAGCATCTGTGGAGGGACCACCGAAAGAGGGGAAGTCTTCGGTATGGTCAACCTTGGGGGTAGCTGTAGCGGAAATGTCCTTATCCTCATCACCATAGTCGAAGCTGTACTTGCCGGAGGAAGTGTTACGAGAGCGAGCCTCGGCGTCAGTTTCCACCTTTGGAGGGTGGTCCAACTGGTGAGTTTGCAACATCAGCAAGCGGTTGCCCTGAGAGTCAGTAGGTCCGTCGCTGTCCTCGTCTGAGGATGTGTATTTGACGATATTAGGACCATCATCACGGCCCAGCGATGGAGAGCTCACAACAGGCTCTTCCTTCTTAGGAGCAGAAGGCTGGAGTGGCACAGCGTTGTTGAAAGACTGGCTTCTGATATTTTGGGAAGAAGAGGCAACAGCACCGGCTGCAAGGCCAGCAGCACCTCCAACAGCAGCACCAGCAGCACCAGCGCCGAAACCGGAGCCGGAACCGGAGCCGCCAGCAGAAGAAGACTGAGCACCATTGGATGGCGCCACAAACAGGCCACGCTCAACGTGTTGCTTCACTGGAGATGGCAGCGGTTCTGTGTTGGAAGGACGAGTTGAGAAGGTGTTCAGTCTGGAAACCGAAGAGACAGACTGGTCCTCAGGAATTGCCTCCACAGGGGAAGGAGCATGCTTCTCGTTCTTCTTCTTGCGGCCAAGAAGCGAGCCCATCTTGGAACGCAACTTCAGCTTTTTCTTTGGTTCCGACAGAACACTCGAGACCGAGGCTCTGGAGCTTTGGTTTCTGGCAGGCGAAGAAGTGGATGCTTGGCGAGGAGGCTGGTGCTGAGCTTTAGCCAAGTCACGGGCAGGAGGCTGGACCTTGGCGTTGACCATGTAGTTGACATACGCGTCCATCTCGTTGTCTACGTTGAACTCCTTGAGGATGTAGTTGACGGCGTTCTCGTTCTTCTGCAACACCTCGGAAGTCTTGGTGTTGATCGTGTTCATGTAGCTCAAAAAACTAGAGGACAACAATTGCTTTTCGTGGCGTTTGAAGTTCTCAAAGTTGGAAAGCACCGTAGGCGCCTTGACATTCCACTGGTACTCGCCATTAGGATCGTTCTTCTCCAAAGCTTGGCTGATTTCCGCCAATTCCTTCAGGTTCACCACAAGCTCGGAAAACCTGACATCGTCTCTCGTGGCAGCGCCCAATTGGGAGAGAATGTCGTTTCTCATGACTTTAATCAAGGAGTCGTTGGCACCAATCTGGGAAGTGACACACAGCGCCACGCAATTCCAGATTTTGTCGATGGAGCCAAACTCGGCGCCAGAATTGGCAAAGAAGTCGCGTCCGTTGGCCACCAAAAGGTTCAAGTCCTGGTTGTACTTGATGAGCATCTTGGTGTAGTTGGAAAACCACACGGCCAAGTTCTTTTCAATAAGAGTCTGCGAGAGGTCCAACGAATGCGGGATGAAGTTGGCCACATCGCCCGGCAGCGTCGACGTCAAGATGGTCGTGGCGAATTCTGAAGTGTCGGCCATATTTGAAAGGAAGCTGGTGGTTGATACTTTGCGATGTAAAGTTGAAGTGCCGGTGGGGCCGCCGTGCAGGACACCTTATTTTCCAAGCAGTCGGTGGAGATAAGTTTAGAAAGTAAGGGTTTAAGAAGGGGAAATGTCGTTTATAGAAATGAACTTGATGAAATTTCGTGCTTCTTCTGCTTGTTTGTTGTGGTGGAATAGAGGATGCCGAGGATGCGGAGTCAGTGAGAACAAATAGGAGAGTAAAACATAGCTGGTCCAAATGGAATGATGATTTTTCCGGCTTTAAGATTTCCAATGAACTCTAATGAAACCCGTTTCTGGCAAATTATTGTTTATTTCTCCAAACCCTGCAACGTGTGTGGCTGACGATCTTGGTTGCGGTTTGCGAGGCGGTGATACGGCTAACCTCGACGATCTTCTCGAGACAATGCCAGCAAATGAGGCTTTTCTTTTTTTGTTGAGTTTCCAGTGATTTTGGTTTTGCTTTACCGGTTTCTTGAAAAATAGAGGTTTTTGCTTTTTGAGCAACGTCTCTGGATTGTGGAGTGGCTTGCTGCGGGTCGACGCACTGCTGCACTATAAGCCTAAAGAAGCTTTTTAAGTGATGCAAAAGCGTAATTGGCAGGTTATGGGTGGTGGGTGGTTTTTGTAATGTTGATGTGGTTTTTGTAATTTTTCTTATGGTCGGTCAGGATGGTGAAGGTGTGTGTTCATGGACCTCGGCTTTTGGATTCTGTCCTTCTGGTTGGCTGGTTTGGAGTGGATGGACTACACCCGATTTCGGTGAAAATTGTTATCAAATCCTCAATTGAATTATAATTCTCAGGGACCACTTGAAGTAGCTGAATTTTGTTCAAATTACAGTCAATTCACCAGTAAGCCTGCTTTACGTAATCGACACATTCAACGCACAGCCTCTGCTAGTAATGAATTTTTCACTTACCAAAGAAGTTTCAGAAAACGGCCGAATATGGACCAATAAGCCCACAACCAAATCTCAACTCCAAGCTGCTACTTCCATAGACGTAGATTCAATTTCATATAAGCGTTCAACGTCGGTATTGCCGCCGCATAGTAATTATTAGACTGTTGAGACTCTCCTTGCTGTACAATTACCCCCTCAAATGTTCATTCGATCGTACCCATTGTCAAACAATAAATAATCAGAGTTTTGACGAGTTTCACTCAGCCTGCTACCTTACAATTCCCACCCAGCTTTCAAGCATCACCCAACAATCACAATTCCGTTGGCTTCGCAGAGATAACGCCTACTCTAGCCAACGGAATCCACACTCTCCAATTACTCTAATCCAACCAAACGTGTTTCAAGCCACGGCCCAGTAAATTCCCCATTGTGATAAATCAAACTCTGGGCTCAAACTCTCCATGAGATTGGCTCGGCTAGCTTATCGGTATCCCTGGCCGATCAGTAATAACAAACGATTCTTAGTCCGAACTACTCCTGCTCATATGAGGCCTTTTTGGCGAAGTACATAGACCTTTTCGCCGATCAGCTTGCGCAAGCCCCCGTAATTCACCAATCACGGTTATGAGTCCTGATTTCTTGGTGGACCGTGGTCTGATAACGCCCCAGTGAGACCCACCATTACACCTTCGTATTTTTCGTAAAACTCAAAACAAACTTCATTTTCGAAAAAAGGCTTAGACTCACAAAAACGCCACTTGCAGAAAAAACGCTTCCCTAGGACCGGCCGGTTCAGGACCGAAATCCTCATATGAAGTTGCTTATCGCACTGGGTCTTGGCCCACCCGGTAACGGTCCCAAGCCCCGGGGCTTAAGTGCTAATTTTCGACTAAAACTCGGAAAGTGCATAGGACGATACTTATTTTTTTCAATTTAATTTTTGTGTTGCTCCGCTTCAACTTGCACTTTGCGATTGGTGCACAAATCCATCCATTGACAGAAAATTCCAAACCACCAACTTCTCGTTATCACTACCACCCAAAAACCCAAAAGCCCAGAAACCAGCCCTCGTATTACACAAAGCGTGTGCGGCCACCGTTGGGAAAAATCACCAGCCAATCAGATCGCCTATCTGAGCCCGAAGCACCTCTCTTATCTTGCCGTGCACCGCTGCAGGAAGTTGGAACACACTGAACAGGGAGAATCCAGGGTTTCAAGGACACTTTCCCAGGCGAATGTGATTTTTTACAGATCGGCCTCCCCCAATTAAATTCGACATTTTGTTCTCGTAAAAACGGTGCCCCCTCCGCTTATCAGTGGGGTGCGGCTGGTCCCAAGTCGCTTATCAGTAGATGCGCGGCTCCCGTTTTGATTGGCCCTTGCCTATCAGACCAACTATATAAACCCATGATTCCCGTAAAATCCTACGTCTATACTTTCAATCTTTCAGTATGTCTACTTCTGTTCCTGGCGCCACGCAGACCGGCACCGGCGGCGACTCCTTGACGGTCGATCTCAGTGCCCAGTTCAACGGTGCTGATATGGTGTGGGTGGCTATTTCCGGTGTTATCGTGTGGATCATGGTCCCCGGCGTCGGTTTGTTGTACCTGGGGCTTTCGAGAAAAAAACACGCTCTTTCGCTTATGTGGGCGTCGCTCATGGCGCTTTCGCTTACTACTTTCCAGTGGTTCTTCTGGGGCTACTCTCTATGCTTCTCGCACCTGGACAGTTCGCTGTTTTTGGGCACTTTGGCCAACTTCTGCCTTATGGACGTGCTTGGCGCTCCCGCTGTCGTCGACTCCTTGCCTGACATTTTGTTCTGCTTTTTCCAGGGCATGTTTGCCTGTGTGACTGCCATTTTGATGGTGGGTGCTGGCTGCGAAAGAGCCCGTTTGGCGCCCATGATGGTGTTCTTGTTCATCTGGTTGACCGTGGTGTACTGCCCAATTGCCTACTGGACCTGGGGTGGAAACGGCTGGTTGGCCAACCTCGGAGCCTTGGACTTCGCTGGCGGTGGTCCCGTTCACGAAAATGCCGGTTTTGCCGCTTTGGCCTACTCCATGGTTTTGGGTAAGAGACACGATCCCTTGACCAACGGCAAGGTGCCAAAGTACAAGCCCCACTCGGTCTCGTCCATTGTGTTGGGTACCGTTTTCTTGTGGTTCGGCTGGTTTGGCTTCAACGGTGGTTCTACCGGTAACGCTTCTATCAGATCCTGGTACGCCTGTGTCAACACCCAGATTGCTGCTGCCTCGGGTGCTTTGACCTGGATGTTTGTGGACTGGTTCCGTACTGGCGGTAAGTGGTCCACTGTGGGTCTCTGTATGGGTGCTATTGCTGGTCTTGTCGGTATCACCCCAGCTGCTGGTTTCGTGCCAGTGTACACCTCTCTTATTTTCGGTGTTGTTCCTGCTATCGCCTGTAACTTTGCCGTGGACCTCAAGAACCTCATCAGAATCGACGACGGTATGGACGTTTTCGCTCTTCACGGAATTGGTGGTTTCATCGGTACTTTCATGACCGGTTTGTTTGCCGCCGACTACATTGCCAAGTTGGACGGTGCTACCGAAATTGACGGTGGCTGGATGAACCAGAACTACATCCAATTGGGTTACCAGCTTGCCGCTTCCACCTCCAACGGTGCATGGTCTTTCATCGTCACTGCCATAATTTTGTTCGCCATGGACAAGATCCCATTCCTTAGATTGCGCTTGCACGAGGATGAGGAGTTGATGGGCGTTGACTTGTCTCAGATTGGTGAATTTGCCTACTACGACAGCGACAATGAGTCTGCCTTGGGCACCAAAAACTCTCCTTACGTTGCCGAGCCAATCAGATCCAACGACCCCCGTGTGGCCCAGTTGAGAGCTGCCTCCAACAAGGAGGAGCTTGACGGTGTTACAAAAAATGGCGAGAAGTTCTCTCCTGAGGATTCTAGCGAAAATCACAGTAACAAGCAGTAGCTGTTCTACTTCTAATATGTCTGTTTAATAATATAATATGCTTATGATAGGGATAAGGGTTTTGGGAGTAGAATCAAGGGGTATTGGTTTTGAGTGATTGAGGAGGTTTTGAAGGAATTACATATGTAGTGTACGATTATCGGTCTGGAATGTAGTTCAGGTAGTGAGTATTCGAAGTGAAGGGTTATTCATTTCGAAGGTCCACCTCCCCTTTGACCCAAGTCAACTCATGAAATACCACTTCTAAAAACTATTTGATTCTGACTTCAATATCTTTTTAAATATCATTTTTGTTGGCGTATTCTTTTCCATGCACCTCGGATCGGCTTGCTCCCACAATCTAGCTCAAACCAAAGTACCCCAAAAAAACACTCCAACGGTTGCAATCTCCTCTAAAACGATCCCAAGAAAAAATGAAGATTTTCAATTTCCCGGGAATTCCCTTCTATAAATACCGGGGACCACCGTAGTCTGGACTGATAACCTGCACACGGCCACGGGGCCCTATTACGCAGTCTATCAGCCTGTCCATTATCAACAACACCTACAACAACATGACATCCAAAATCTCTCCTGGCGAGGGAATCCCCGGTTTTTTACATTTAGGAATTCTGCTTTATGATACAGTGGCCAAGCTCAGATCGTCAGACTACAAAATGCAAATTGCATACTCGTCTCAGAAGTACCTTGAGTCACCGATTCTAGTGACCCTTCCGTCCTTGGGACTTAGACTCACCTTCCTGAACCTGCTGAGCCAGGAGCTCCAGCTTATAGAGGTTTTGAATTTTGATATGCTAAAATTCTCGTACAACAGCCAGCCATTGAACGAGATCCAGTTCTTTGAGGCTCCGGAAGAGGAGGAAGTGCTAGAGAGACCACAATTGCAGAAGCAGGTCAGTCCTCCGTGTTTGAAGGTTATTTATAATAAGATTTTTGGTCCCACGTATCCCGGAAAGCTAGACTTGACAAAGCAGACATATGTGTTGAACTACCCGGGTATCAGCTTTAAGTTTGAGATTCGGCTGAAGGAGCTACTTGCAAAACTAGCATCGATAACAGACGAGAGCCAGGTGCTTTCAAAGCTTGTCAATTGGGACGTGGCGCCTGACATTCCGTGTGTCTCCTTGGCGATCTTCAGGGGTAAGGATATCACGAGCTTTTTGGCCAGCTTTCGAGAAACCGTAGCACTTCGAAAGACAAGCGGACTTGCCAGTGCTCCCTCCGTGGAGAAAATCAAGGTTGAGCTCGAGTTGGGCGAGATACTGGTTATCTACTCTCAAGACGAAGGTATGAAGTATATGGAAAGCCTCAAACTAGGAGTGAGCACGCAGCAAGACGTGGTGAGAGTTTTGGGACCTCCAGATGCCTACTTCAACAAGTTTGACTCGCGTCTTTTGATTCACAAGCACCTCAAAACGGCCACAGCCCCAAGTGAGCGAGCTGGCTCGGTTTATAAGTTCCACAACTACTTACGTTTGGGGATTGACTTGCTCTACAATTTGAATCACAACGACAAAGTTGGTGGCGTGCTTGAAAAGATCGTTCTTCACAATGGTGGCATAGCCGAGTCGTTAGACTTCATGCAGTGGAACAGATGTAACTGGGAAATCTGCTGGAACTCCAGCAGCAAGACCAAGGTTGACTCATCAATGTACTTCCATGAGTTCGGGAGTGAATTCCTAAAGGAGATAAGCACTGTGAAGACCGACCCCGTCATGCTCAACCGGAATGAATCGGAGATCACTCGGGACGAAGACTTGGAAATTTTGCATGTCGCTGAGAATGGCAAGCTGGACTCCAATCAGTCACTGTCAACCACTTCCATCAGCTCTAAACCTTCCAATGAGTTCAAGACTTGGGGGCAGTCCAAATTGTATGGCTATGACAGGTGCATCTGGGAAGTCATTGAAAGCAACAATTGCGTTTCCAACGTCACCATCTATTGATCTTGCGGGATTTTAATGACAAATGTAATTTAGGCTCTACAATGGCTTTGAAGGGGTGGAACGTTGTCGTTGGTCTGGTGTTATACTGTGTGTACTGCATATCACGCTCCTCGATGATTATCACGAACGATAGAGATGGATTGAGAAGACGACTATGAAACTCACGCCGCAGGTCATATCGGAGGCGCCAGTTTACGTCAATCCCGAAAAACGGCTCACATTGAACCTCCGAGACGGTCAAGCCCTTTTTATCGAAAATCTCGATGCCGCCAACAACATACACAATGTCATCGACTTGACCAACAACGAACTTATAGAGCTCAGTGGGATCCCACCTTCGCTAGATACCCTTGAAACGCTTCTTCTAGCTAACAATAATATTTCCCGTATCAAAGAAGAGTCCAATGAGAGCGTCAAGTCGCTTTCGCTTGTCAACAACAACATCACCAACTTGGGCCAGCTTAAGCCACTCCGACTCTGGAAGCTAGAGAACCTTCTTTTGATTGGTAACCGGGTAGTAAGAGAACATAACTACCGTCTTTCCGTGGTGTGGCTTATACCTACCTTGAAGGTGTTAGACGGTGAGAAAGTGACTGCCACTGAACGAGCAACAGCCAAGGAGCTTTTCGGCGAAAGTTACGAAAAGGCAACGCCGGCGTTTGATGCCACAGTAAACGGTGGGCCCGAGCCAGAAACCAAGAGCAAACAGGAGCGGATGGTGGAGAGCACGGTCAAGAAGTTCAGCGAGGAGGAGAAGGCGGATCTTCTCCGGCAGCTCGAGGAGGCCGAAGATATGGAGGAAGTGGAGAGGATCTCTGCTATTCTCAAGGGAGCATAGACCATTTTACGAATGTAATGACGATAGAAACGTTGTAGGTGGGGCTGGGTCCCAAGAGCTCTGGAGTGGAGTTTGACAAGTCGATCCATCTAATTGGATGTTCTGGATTTCACAGGTACGCCGCATGGATCCAAGTACCCAGCGTATCGGCGTATTCTTCAGAGGCTGAAAAAGTTGAAAAAGACGTAGATGCACATACCAGGTAGCAAAGTTAAGCCCCTGAATTTGCGCCATTGAAGAAGCTCAATGAACAAGGTGAGAGTGAAAAACAAGAGTTGGAGGATTTGGCAAAATGACAGCTTTCGTGAAGTTCGACAAAGAAGGTATGAGGTTCTTGCTGAAATCCGGAAACAGCAAATGAGGAGTCAGGGTACGCAGTACGGATAAGGGAGGGGTTGATGGATGCAAAAGAAGTAGAAGTCATAGGATTTGGAGAGTGTTCTGGGTTCCTTTTGTAGAGGACATGACATCTTAAAACGGGGTACCTTTGGAGGAAGGTTTATGCTTGTTGGGGACTTTTCATGGTACTCATGTAGATGGTCAAAGACAAGGAGTCAGACCACAAAGAGTGTTTTCTGGAAATTTCAGGAAATCAGCTTCGAAGACGAAAACCCTCCTGACTGTTTGGGAATCCCGTCTCCATGCCCGGATGGACGAATCAGGTGTCGGTACCAGGTGGTGTGAGCTGAGCGGCCCATGTGCCATAATGAAAAACCGTCAAAAACGGTGAATTGAATAAAGAGACGACAAAAGGCAAAACGCTTCGTTCTGAAACACCCAATATCAAAACTCTATTCTCCAACCCCTGAGCATTGTTGGATTGCAGTGCACATCCATCCTCACGGTTGAACAATCGTAGCTGAAACCGTGAAACGGCACCACCACGTCTTTCAGGCAATTCGACTGCATTTTGGGGATTCACATTTACAGAACTATCGACTTTTCTGCCTTTCACCTGAAAATTCATTCCTCCTTGCAGTCCTCCCATTGGACCTTGCAGTACGGTAGCAGACACCCATATGGCCCACACAGAAAGACAAAATCCGAATTCCCCCAAAATATCCACATATTCGGATTCACCATTCTTTGTAGCACCGATGAGTACCGTTTTTTCACACCCCCGCCCCGCCGGCGTACATCATCACTGCCTTCTCTGAAAGATATGGTTGGACATGGACGCACCAAATTTCTCACTTTCCCTCCACCACCTTTTCTGTCTTTTTCAAACCCGACCAGCGGCCGCTGACCTTTCTTCATTTCCTTCATTCCACATCCTTCGTCATGACCACACGACCCAGGCGGAAAGGCGCCGGGAACAAGAACTACCTGGATGCCCTTCCAGAGCCTCTTTTGGAGGACCAGGATGTTCACGCTGTGGCCCCGAAACTGGCTGCTTCCGGTCGGAAACCAAAGAAATCAACGCCGCTTCCGGCTTCTACGGGTAAACTACCGTACAACTGGCAGCCGCCTGTCGGTCCGGGGGACTTCTTTTCCAATAAGCTCAATTTGGACGGTGCCTATGTGGATACGGTTCAACAGAGCCTATACTGTCCCGAACACCCCAGCTTTCACTTACGGGAACCTGAGGATCCTCTGGCCCGTCCCACGTCAAGACGCCGTAAGGAGCCCTACTTTTGTCTACGCAAAGGTGACTACATCTACATGGTGAGTGAGCCTCCAGGAGAACCATACTACATTGGACGGGTCATGGGCTTTGCTCGGAAACGGAAAACCACGGAGGAGAGCGAAAACCCGTTGGTGGACGCTTCTCTCTTTGTTTTCCAGATCCAGTGGTTCTACAGGCCCAGGGACATCTCCAAGCATACGCTGGACTCTCGTCTTCTATACGCCTCCATGCACAGCGATACGTGTCCCTTGCAGAGCTTCAGGGGCGTTGTTACGGTGAAACACAAGCTGGAGATCGATACGACGCCAAAACTCGCCAGAGAAGGTACCCCCATGCTGCCGCTTGAAGCCTACTGCCTGATTCCAAACTGCTTCTACTTTGACAAGTTGTTCGACCGCTACATGATCAAATTCTACGATATCATCAAAACGTCGCTGCTTCTCCAGTACGTCAGCAACACAGCCAACAACAGTCAGAACTACATCCTTGCACTCAACAAGCGCTTTGAGTTCATCTTCATGGAGCCCTCGCGGAGCAAGCAGTTTATCGCCAACTTTGAGTCCAACCTGAGCTCTCATTGTGACGTCTGTTCTGAATGGTGTGCTCCCAACGAGCTGGTCACCTGTGCTGGTTGCGAGAAGCACTTCCACATGCTCTGTCTTGATCCTCCGCTTCTAAAGAAACCCAGCCGAGGCTTCAGTTGGTCCTGTGCGCTTTGTACGAAGAAGCACGAGCTCGAGTACCAGAGCAAAAAGATGGTGATGCTTTCTCACGACAACAGATCGTCCAACGAGAAGGAAATCTCCGAAATGAGCGACCACATCCCTTCATCTCCCGAGGAGCCAGTGGAAACGCCGAGAAAGTCGCCTGAGGTGTCCCTCCCCAAGTATGAGGTGATGGCCAAGGACTTCTTGAACAACGATGCCGATTTGTCTGTAGAGGACAGAAGGCTCAAGGAGGAGTGGAGCATGCGCTACTTGGGTATTCACACTCGTCTTGAGGACGCTGTCGATCTAGATGACCGTTCTCCGTACCCCAGGGCATCCACAAGTTTGGGTCCAAAGTACCAAGCCTCGAACGTTCCCGAGTACATCGACCACCCCATAGTGTACTACGATAACCCCAAAGCCGCTGAAAACGGCAAAAAGAAGGCTCCAGGAAAAAGAGGGGCTAAAAAGAAAACAGTGGAAGAAGAAACCAAGAGTCTACCGCTTCCGAAAGAGTTCGAGGACGTGCCTCCCAAGGAATATCCTCAATGGCTTCAGCCTCGGCCTAAGGGCTATGTCGAACGTGGTGTCGATGATGGTGACGGAGAAACTTGCACACTTCTATGGAAAAATAGAGAAGAAGATGTTGCTGATAACTTTGCCACTTTTGACGACTACGTGAGGGCCTGCAACCCCATTGCCCAGCGGCTCAACATGTACCCAACCTCGCCTAATTTTGTGGACGCAATTTTGAAGATTTGGTTGGAGTGCAAAGGTGATGCTGTGGCTGCAGTGGAGAGAGTTTCTCAACTCACTAGAGCCACTCTCAAGGAACCCACTTTCTCTGCTGAAGAAATCAAGCGTTTCGAAAACGGTGTCAAGAAGAATGGAAGTGAGCTCTACCCCACATACAAGCTCGTGAAGTCACAACCCTGCTCAATGGTCGTGAGATTCTACTACTTATGGAAGAAGAGTCCAAGAGGTCGTCAGATTTGGGGCAATTTCCCTGGCAGAAAGAAGAAGCTGAGCTCGACCAAGGAAGAAAAACCAGCTAAAGAGATGGACCACATGATTGACAGTGACGACGATTCCTCGTACGAAAACGAGAAGATCGTGGTCAAGAGACGTAAGTTCCGCTGCAAGCATTGTAAGACTTACAGATCCACTCAATGGTTCCGAATCACAGGTTTTGATGAGAACACGAAGTACGACGAAAGTATTGAGGCCGACGACATTGATCCTGAAGCCGTTCACGGTTTATGTTTCCGTTGCGCTAAACTTTGGAGACGCTACGCTGTTTATTGGGAAGACCCTCATGAGGTTGAGAGAAGAAACACGAGAGGCATTGGAGGATACAAAAAGAAAGTGGAGGCTGAGTTGGTTGCTGATGCCGAAAGGATTTTGTCGAAGGCTCAAATGGAAGGCGGAGGTCTTTCGTATGACCCTGAAAGCCTTAGACCAGGCGAGAGTTCAGTCTTGATTCTCAACACTCCAATGGTCACTACGGAGCCAGAACAGAATGGCTATTCTAAACGAGTCGCTGCAATTGCTAATGTCACAGTTCCCTCTCCAACGACACTTCCTGATATCGTTTTGCCTAGAACCGCTGCAAGACCTAGGGCACCCAAGCCAGCAGCAGTATCCACAAAGGTTTCGAATAATGGCACAAAAGCCGCTCCTACCACAACAAAGCGTGCAAATGGTAGGGCGGACACAAAATTGAAGCAAGAGGAGCCTCCTGAGAAAAAACGCAAGCCTCTCACATCCACCAATGGCGTTGCAAAGACAGAAACCAAACCAAAGCCAAGAAAGAAGACTCCCGTCAAAG